GTGTGTGTGTGTGTGTGTGTGTGTGTGTGTGTGTGTGTGTGTGATGTATGTATCTTGCACGTAGCCATTTATAATTTTAATATCTTTAAAGTGATATATTTCGAAAATAAAATATTTCGAAAATAAAATATGAGAAATAAAATAAAATTTTAAAAATAAAATAAAATATCAAACAGGCACGGTTAAAATTATATTTTTAAAGACAAAACTCTAGTACTATGCGATGACATTTCAGAAAAATTTGGAGTCTAAAATAAATGCATTACTAGAAATGTAATTGATCGTATTTTCTTATTAATTTAGTCATTGGAACATTTATATTATTTAGAAAAAAAACATTATTATACAATACTAATAAGATATCTTTTTTAAGTAGAATAACTTCAAAGATCTAAAGACTTTCTTTCTCACGTTCTTAGTTTTAACTATATAATGATATTGTCTTAAATATCATGTGCATTATCGTTTATTATTTAACAAGGCAAAGTTCACAAGATATACTCTTGTAATATTCATACAATAAAAGAAATACCATACTTAGTAAATCGATAGAAGAATACTTTTATGAGAGGACAAAATGAAATTAGATTCAATAACTGATCAAAATAAGAAACTCTAGGTAATATTTCGATATACTAATATTATATTCTTATCATAATTCCATTGATTTCAACAGTTTTTATCAAATTCTGTTACAACATCGATGTAGTGTCTTGTTATCGATTTCCTAATCTCACATTACATGATTCATTTTTTACGAGAGTATTCGGCTCCTAAGTATATAAATTCACCGTGTTAACGCGGATGTAACAGTTATCAAGTTAGTATTAGTCGTACAATGGCGTTGACACTATTGTCTTTCCTGAGCTTCGTCGCGCTTTCTCAAGGTGAGTAATTAACTTCTTCGCCGAATCGATAATTATTAATATAATATTGACAAACGTTCATTAAATTAAACGAATACAAATTGGCACACGCCTCTCTATATTTTTAGCGAAAGAAAATTCATCTGAGTACAATATGTTATCTGAACAAATCAATTTTCTCAATTTGTCTTTGTGTATATCGACATCCTAAACCCACTTATTAAATACTAATTAAACTAAATTAATAGCAAAACTGTATTCCACATTTTTCGACTTTGTCAAACGCCTGTATAAACAGGCCAAATCTGTCAACTTATTTTATTAAAACGCGTATGTGAAAAATGAATTGTTGCCCATTACAATTTGAATTTCTACTTACAAGTAAACCTATCCAAAAGGTAGGTACTCTGATTTCTTTTTAATTTGGCACAAATTACAAAGTATAAAAAATATTTAGGTCATACTTTTTCATTTTGGCCTACTTTGAGTTTCGGGGACAGTTTATAACTTCTTAATGTTTTCACTCCTGTCATCAACAAGTACAACAAAAATGCATAAGAAATAAAATTGAATACAAGATATAGTTAAATAATTTTAACAAAATAGGCATAGCTGAGACACGAACCATTCTAAATTTCTTTAGCCGAGATTCCAACCGAAATACTTGAAATCTGTGCTAAATAAGTCAAAAATAGTTCGAATCTCGGCCAAACCAAAATCTGGCAATTTTAATTAAAATTTTAATAAAATCGGCATAGCTGAGATACAAACCATTCTAAATTCTTTTAGCCAAGATTCCAACCGCAATATTTCAAATCTGTGCTAAATTAGTCAAAAATGGTTCGAATTTCGGCCAGACCGAGAAATTATTTGTATAAATAATTTTTTTCAACATTTTATGTTTTGTTTAAATTTTATTATTTATGCAAATAATTTTACACATTTGACTTGATATTCATAATTAGCAAACCAAAAACGTTTATATCTTGTAGTCAATTTTATTTCTTATGCATTTTTGTTGCACTTATTGATGATAGGAGTGAGAACATTAAAAAGCTATAAACTGTGAAACTCAAAGTAGACCAAAATGAAAAAATTTGACCTAAATATTTTTTGTACTTCTACATTTGTGCCAAATTAGAAAGAAAGCGAAGCGTAACTTTTGGGTAAGTTTACTTGTTAATTGATAAATTTATTTAATTTTCACCGTTAATGACGTTTCATCATTGGCTCTGCAGCCAGGTTTATTGAGACATTCTTCGATCCCAGAATCGTAAACGGAGAAGATGCTGAACTAGGCGAGATCCCGTATCAGGTATACATTGACAAAAGTACATATTCGTTAATTAATAAAAAGTTACATTATAAACTGTTCACCTGTGTCGCGTGCATTTGTAAGGGCAAGTTTAAAATTACCTTAAATTATTCTAAAGTCATGCATATACTGTAGTGCCATTCTCTCGATAGGTTTCCCTACAAACCTCGTACAGCGACTCCCACTTTTGCGGCGGATCGGTTCTAAACGACAACTATGTTATCACGGCAGGTCACTGCGTTGATAAGTATGTCATCATTACAGTTTTGTAATCCTCTTACTATAATTATCTAATATTATTGAAATAGCATTACGCCAACACGTTGTAGAAATCTTGCTGTTATGCACTTGGTGCCATTCGTATTAACTCGTCCTAAAAAAATGTATGCTTAAATAGATATTCAAATTTACACAATAAAATTCGTATGTTACAGCATGAAGGATGAAAAAATAATAGTCATCGCTGGCACCGTCAATCTGAACAATCCGAGATCGACGCACGAAGTCGAGAAAATCATCGTTCACGAATTATATAATGCTAGTGATTCTTGGAGGAACGACATCGCCCTGCTGAAGGTCTGAATGTTCACTCGAATTCTTCTTCTCACGAATATTGCATTCGTTAAACTTTACAACATTCCCTCCGGCGAAAGATATTCACATCGAAATGGTATTTCAGGTGAAAAATCCATTCGTCAAGTCTATGTATATCTCCCATATTCCTCTACCATTGCAAGACTACGTTGTGAAATCCAATGACGTGGCTGTTGTTTCCGGATGGGGCGCACGCAAGGTGAGTTTTTAGTCGTTAAAATCTATATCCTTCGTATGTAAATTATTGCAGGATCGATTACGATGAATATTTACGCGCGATCACTCAATATTTATTGCTCGCGTTACGTGCAGAAGCGACACATATTCGTAAGCGAAAATTACATGTACTGTTACGAAATTGTAGCTACATGGAAATATTGTCTACCAACTACAAAAAACCACCATCTACATTGCTGACCAGAACTACTGTAAAAGTATGTACTCAAACAATGGATACCACATCTATCCCACACATGTTTGCGCATACGACCCGACCGTCAATAAAGGATCCTGCCAAGTAAGTTTCTTTACCCTCCAAAACTCACGCCCTCGTGATACCTTTATTACCATAGCGATACGTAAGCTGCAGTTTCTCTTAACATGTTGTACATGAATTGAAGTATACTCGAAGCAACACAAAGAAAACATGAAACGAAATTTACAAGTGCAACTATTACGTACACTGTTAAATCCGTAGTGTCAAATTATAGTCAATTTGAGTTATTTTTAACTATTCTTATAAGTCACCACTGCTCCTACTAAATATATCGTTAATTTAACTAATGTAATGGAGTTAAATAATTTAACTTAAGAAATGTATTAAATTTGCCTAAAATTTAGTTTATTTTTTATTATGTGCACGTTAATGTAACCTTTGTTTTAGTAAAAAATGACTTAATATTGTTTTAAATGGATTGATTAGATGTGGTTGTTTTTTTAAACACATGTTTTGTGTTAAAATAGTAAATTTTGACATACATGATAGTTAAAAATAACTAAATATTATTTAACTCAAGAAATTGGTTTAAATTTGATCCTCCAATATTTAACAGTGTATCACAGATGCTCTCGCGAGATATAATTCTTCCCACATCAGCGTGAAATTTGAAATTACTCTGTTTCCCACACACAGGGTGACTCGGGCGGCCCACTGACCGTTGGTGGCAAACTCGTCGGTCTGGTATCCTGGGCGAGAAGTTGCGCCCTAACCACCTACCCCACTGTGTATACACGGGTTACATATTACCTCGACTGGATCAAAGCTAACGCCGTTTAAATCAGTCTTGCCAATTCGCTTCCTGTTATAATTTATATCTCATTTCTTTACTATGCGTATATTATATGTAATTTTCTGACGATGGAGTTTTTTGAAGTTGCAAACGAAAAAACGAGTAGTTGTAACGAGATGTGAAACTAGTTATACAAGAATATTAATTTCATAGGACAAATCTTGTATTCTTTCGACATAATAATAAATATTATTATTCAGCAACCGATCCACATCGTATTCTGCAATCAAAGTGTCCGAGTATTGCTACTCAAGGAGTAATTCAGTTAGTTGTGACTTGCTTAGAATGAATCGACAATATTCGGGAGGAACTGTAGATTAAATCTATGCTCGCGTTCTACTTAAGTTAACTGGAATTTAATCGCCGAATTGTAAAAGTTCCGCTAATGAAAAGTAGTACCTCGCTCAGCCGTAATAATGAGCAACGACTTCTGAGCATCTCATTTAATGATTTTCTGTCCGTGAGGAGATGAAATTCCTTCATAGAAATCGTTCGTCCCTTTTCTCTCACTTCTATTTTGCAAACTATAGATTACTCTTAACTTGAATAATCAATGAGTCTTTGAACTCAGGACGATCGCACTCCAGCAGGAAGAGCTGCAAGTAACACCGACTCTGTCGGCTTCTAGCCGATGATGCCTTGAAAGCTGCACGACTCAAATCTCCGACTTCGTGTCTTCTGCGCGACGGATCGATAGCGTAAAAATGTTATCTCGATAAGAGAACACTGAACTGTCTATTCATAGGTTTGTACGTTTTCGAAGAACTTCTGGACTTGTGCACAGTAGTCCGAAACAAATTAAAGTAAAAGAGAGTATATTTGTTTCACTCTAACTTATTACATTAATACAGAAGTTCTTGGAAAACGAACAAGTCTTTTGTTAAAGAATTCTAGAGAACGCGATTTAGAGTATTTCTAATGCCCCTCTCTCCTCATTGCCACGGAAATACATTTTTTTAAGTAGCGCTCTAAGCTCATTTTGATAATGCATATCGTACATTATAAGAATAATAATTATTTAAGTGCAATTATAATAGTGATTTTAGACTGAACTCACCCGCTGACGAATTTAATTTAGTTAAAAAGGTGACAGCGGGAAATTATAGTATATCAAGGGCGTCCATCACCATCATGAAACAGATCCATTGGGCCTTTAGTATGGTACAACCGGATAGTACAAGAGATTGGACTCGGCCCTGCCGCGAAATCAATACACCGTGACCGCGCTGCGCTCACGTGTTGCTCTCATTTCCGGTGACACTTGGCAGAGCGGAAACGATCGATACGAACATTTTAACCGTAATTGACAGTCATGATCGTGGAGCATCTATTTGGCGCAACGCAATCTTAGGTAAAACACGTTAATGGCGTTTCATTAATTATAAAGCCGTTAAAATTTACTTCCCTCGTAACGTCTTTCGCAACTTTAATACGATCTAAAGACGGCGAGGGGAGAAAGAGTAATATCGGTTCTTCGAGAAACTAGGCGCACGTGTCTTCGGGATTTATGAACGGTGAAAAAACAATCGGAGATGGGAGGAAAACCTTCCGTGCCCGTCGCCGCTTCATCGGGAGGAAATGGTGTAAAAATATAGGCGAACTTTATTACATTTCTATCGGGAGTAACTAATAGCAAGCGTTGAAGATGCTTCCTTGGAATGGACGCGAAACGAAGTGCAAGCAGCCAAGTAGCGTTCTGGATCGTTCTTCAAAACGACAAGCGAAACGTCAGCGCGAATCGCTCGTGTCGAATTCTATTCTGCCGCCTGTATTTACATTGCTAATGAAATTTCACTTCCGCCTTCGCGATGCCTCCAAGAGGCGCGCGATAGACTCCTACGTCGCTCACCGCTTTTATTTCTTCAACGATTTACTCAGAGCGTTGAAGAACCTGGTAGCTGCTCATTTACGACGAGAGGCAGCATCATCACTAACTATATAGAGGACACGTTAGAGTTCCTCTACTCAGAGTTAGGACAAAGCATGAATTTCCTGATTGGTCCGCATCCTATCCACTATTTTTAGAGTTGACGTGAGTGAGAGTGAGAGAGAAGCTCTAGTAGAAGTGAGAGCGAAACTCTCTTAGGTCGCTTGCTAGTTTTATTCTATTCTTCTTCGATGATTTATTCAGAGAGTGGAAGAACCTGGTAGTTGTTCATTTACGATGAGATGCTGCATCATCACTAACTATGCAGCCTACAATTATAGTCCCTCTAGTCAGAGTTAGGACAAAGCATGATCATTCTTGATTAATCTGCATTCTGTCCGCTATTTTTAGGGTTGACGTAAGAATAGGAATAAGAGAAAAGCTCGAGTAGGAGTGAGAGCAAAGCTCTAAGACTGAAATGACGAGACACAATTTCTAGCAATTTCTTTCTAACTCACTCACTTCCTTCCTATAGCTGACGGATGATGTCCTAAATCTGACTTCAAAAACTCTAACCCATCCTGTACACGCACTGTTTTCAGACAAAGGGAGTTCTCTCGCATCAACTTACCTAACAGCGTTGGAAACCCGACGGAAGTATCCTTCATCATTTCGTACGAAGTAACTTCGTTAGTTTCGACGTGCCGATCCGCCGTAACGAAATCTTTGCGCGTTGTGCAATTTTTACAAGTTAATTTACGATACAGACTGACTCCTGTCCCAGTTACGTGACAGATTTTACAAGCAGTCCCAACGTATCACGTTTAAATATTCCCGAGTGACTTTACAGTCCCAACCACGCGGGCTAAATGGCTATTTACTACGGTCAACCAAAGTAATACCTGCACGCGATACCTTCATACCTGCGTATGTACGAGGAAGAGCATGTTGCCGTGGCTAAACTATTCGTGCGAACACATAAACTCGTATAGTTTGCAAAGCTTATGAACTCACTGGTTTTAGAGGGTTAATTTCCACAGGATTACAACATTATGACATATACAAGCGGACACAAACACAAGAGAGAATTGTTCCCCCTTATAATTGCATAAGGCGATATTTGCAATCACGTCAGAAACGATTGCGCAATTTGTGCAACGCACAACTTTACGACATACGATAATTACTCAACTAAGTACGAAATGTTGCTTTTGAAAGTTCTTCAAACAAATATAGCGAATTCAATTCAGTGCAAATAATCTTTTGACGCGACTGACACGAGCAAACACGATGCTGTTAATTAAGTCGAAGGAATTCATCGTGGATGTTATTAAATCGAGCTTTCTTATGATGTTTGTGTGAAGATATTTGGGTTAATCGAACATCGTCCTTTTTGCACCTGTCATCTCAATTTAAGCATTTATTAAATCCACACCGTGTATAAATGTCAGTCGGTAAAGCTCTTTGAAAAAAATGTCGCGACTGAAGCTGAAAGCCTCAAACGGAACAAAGCCCCTCCTCTACTCACGATCAATTCGACATCGTCGCTCCGGCTCCTTTTTCTTCCATCCTCCTTCTCTCTATTTCACTCTCTTTTCTTACTCATCTCACGACCTCACTTTCATTCCTTCTTTTAGACCCGCAAATCGACCTTGAGGCTGTTGGAATAAATCGAGATAGAGCCGTCGCGACAACCCAATTTTATCGGGATAACTACAAAATGATGGCTTTTAGCTCGAAAGGATGAGCTAATGTCATTGACAATAGCAGCAAAGGCTTCAACATTTGTGAATGTTACACAAGAATAGATCAAAAGATTTCGCGGAGCGCGATGGAAATACGATAAATTTGTCGGGACATCTTCCTGACAATCTTTAGAATTTCAATATTGAATGTTTCGGTAAGTAAGCTCGTGAAGAAATGCGAAGGTCTTATTCTGCTACTCTCTCTTGCTGCACGCGCAAGTACTTGGAATAAGAGGCTTCCGCATATTGATAATCTTATTATACTTCCCTTCTGGCCCTCCCGTATGCACTTTGCTGCATATACTCTATTAACCACTGAGGCGTAACTTTCGCGGGAACGATTCCATAGGGCCTCTGGCTCATTTCGTATAACGATTATATACGATCGTTGGAACTTGTAGCGAAAATACCTAGATCCTTTCGATATATACATGTACATAGCAACGTTATTGCATGATCCTTGTTCAAGAGTACAAAGTGTTACAGGATATTTCGTGATATTAAGGATAACTTGCGCACACACAAAACTAATTCGTGGAACAAATTGATTTTACTCGGATATTTCCAATTTGCTTAAAAATCGAAAAAATGAAAAAAATGATGAAAAAATTGTTGCAGTTCATATAAAATGTATCGAGAACTATAACGCTGCATCTGATTTCAATTGCATGTATATATAACGACAGGAAAATATATTATCAATCAGGTAATCATAAAATTTATGAACTAATAAATCTCCCATTTACAACGACGAGAAACGCGCGTAGCGTAGTCGGAAATATTACAGCAAAATTACACACAGCAAACGACTGTTGGTGTTTGACGCGAATTGACTTTTACTACTTTGTTACCACTGAGTGTGACTATATTCAGATTATATTCACATTATCAAAAGTTTCTCTCTCCGTGCAATCTAGTGATATGAGAAATGTAATTACATGTAATATTCTCGTACACAAACATACACATACACACACACGCATATATATACACGCACACTACGCGTATTTAGTTCGTAGCCCCGCGATTATCAGCTGTATTAAAGTTCGCTTCTACTACAATCTGATGATGAGAACAATCTGATCTAGGGGTAGTCACGTTATAGAGACATAAGGTCATCTCACGTTTCCGACCTACGGTCGAGTTAACAGCCGCACAAATGGGTTCAAATGGGCCCGAAGCTGTAAATCATAAGCTCGGAACTTGCATCATTGCTCTTCATATCTTCGCGAGCGTGAGGGGAAGTGCGATATGAGATGCTTATTCAATTCATCCGTCCGTACGTAAATAACTTAATCACGTTGAGAAGAAAAAAGAGAAAAAGAGAGAAAAGGAAGAGAAAGAGGGAGAGAGAGAAAGAGATTGTTGAGATGACAACGTCATGGCGCTAACTTTAGCGCGAGAACGAAGTACTCACGTCTTGTGAGTTTCATTCGTACTTAATATTTCAAATTTAAAGTGGCTCCTACGCTTCTCTCCGAGATTTACCTCATTCTGACACCAAAATCCTTCAATTCAACGAAATTTCTCCGTCGCATTTTCGCTCAGTGAGCTCCGGCGGGCAAATTTACAAAAACGGAATTATCGGGAAAGCGTGACGTTCGTATTCACAAGTTCTGCGAACTGTAACTCTCCGCGTCATTCCGATCTGAATATTCTTTTCTCTGAAAAGAAGTGTCTCTGAGAATATTTCATTCAATAGGATAGCAATCCACGACACATGCGATTAAAGTTGAGCTTTCGCAGAAAGATCCCAAGCTTCTCAGTCTGCTTTCATTTCTTCGCATAAGTATGGAATTTTAATGTGTTATTACGTCAATATTTTCAAACTTTTCAGTAAATACACTCGATCTGAACGTTAGAATTATATCTCGTACACGGGGAAAATATTGTAGCAAAAATTAAAATTATATTTTATTTTATATTTTTTATGTGAAAATGGATTATATTGACGTTGTAGTATCAATTTTTATAGAAACAGTAAGTTTGACAATCTATCGAACATACGACATAAAAAAGCTTTCAAGCAAATTACAATAATTTTTTAGTAAAAAGTTAAAGTGATATTCTTGAACAAATATGTAACAATTTTGATTGTGATTTCTGTATGGTCCAAGATCACAAAAATTACTGTAACTTTTTCTACAACATTTTCTCCGTGTAACTATCTTCTCCGTATAACACTCGGTCGATCGAAGAGCGAGAATGACTAAGCAGTGCTGAAATAATAAAGGCAATTTACTCCAAGCGCAAATGCGGTTCATACCGTTTATACTGTATAGCCAGTATTATATGAGAATCGTAAAAGGGTGTCGCTTTAATGTCGTAAAAAAAAATATTCCTTGCTGCGTGCGTAGTCTTCGTTCCGTGTCATCAAACTTTGAAAGACTCACCTGCACACGAAGTGGTATAGGCACTTTTGCTCCCGGTCTTCTACAGGCTGTTGGACTTTGAAATGCTATTGCGATGGAATATATACACGCAAGAAAAGATGGGACTAAAGTTACGACACTCGCGCGACGAGTCGCCATATGAATCTTTACTTTCCCCTTCTCGTTATAGCAATGCACTGTTTAAAAAGTAATCCGAGTAAAACGGGCGACGAACTTCCCGTGACGTTTTGCAGCGGCTCTTCTATAGCCGGCTCCGTTACGCAAATAATCTCTATCATTTTGTGCGAGTCTCTCTCGCAGTTTAAGGAATCCTAGCTTCATATCTAGCTTCATATTAACACACTGAATGCTGCGCGGAATTTGACTAATTTCGCAAAAGCCTACGCGAAAGTTGCATATTCATCGCTATGATTAATAAGCGAAGTTTTTGTTCGTGTCTGTGTTCATTATATCCTTTGCTTCCTATAAACTGATATTCACGTAACTCTACAAAGAATTGTATTTCATTCGTACGCGAACGCATCTAATCGCAATCATCATCTTGGGACATTCAATGCGTCAACAGACATGTTGTGTGACTCACGTTTTGCTAAAAATGGTAACGAACCTATTTCTGCATTTTTCCCCGCATTTCCTCGTATCACCTTGTGCTTAAGAAATTTATTCACCAGGTATATATTTTCAGGACGTCCAAGCGGCATATGTTCAGTGGCGCACCAAGAAAGCGCCTCATAAAATTCCCTATTTACCGAGTAAAATTACGTTTTTATATATTTATTTCACTATCTAAATAATAAATATTAATTTAAAACTTTTTTATTTCCTTGATATCACTTTTTGCAAAGTTATACTGCAATAATAATTATCAGTATTGCTGCTACTATAAAGTTGCATGTGCAATATGCGATATTTAACATTAAATTTTACGAATGATGCAGACAAATCGCATGAACTTTAACTACAAATGTTTTTAAATGCTACGTTAAATTTTTGTGTAATTTTTCAGTATTTTGATTTAAGTGAATAAATTCCTTAATCGAGAACAATGCGTGAAACAATTATCGTATTAAACATATTGGGGAGACCGGGATTAGATGTCCCATATTTCGAAATTTCGAAGTTACAACTTCTCAAACAACTAATTGTTGTGACTGACTGTACAAACATGATAGAAGCAGCCTTTTTCTATGTTCGCCACGATTCTGTTAACTATATATTTTGTAATAACCAAAATACGAACATGCCGCAACATGACATTCCCTGATATCGAGTTTGGTTGCTCAGTAGCGCAAAGTAAGAAGATATATATAAAATCCGTATCCTAGTTAGTAGTTCTGAGGTCTCCGCGAGAGGTCTCTACAACCCTTCTGCCAGTTGTTAATTATGAGCCAACTTTAGCTAGTCCACCTATATGCTCGATTTCAACCTCATTTCATGAATGAAAACTGCTCTTATTATCCGAAACAATATATCATACACTTGCACAAAACTTCATTCCAATTAAGAACATACCACTTAACTTTATTCATTCACGATGGAGAATATTAATACAAAATTCCGAGAGGCTTGTAAATTTACTTTGCCCATACAGCACAAATGTTCAGTAGATATCCTAAGAATGTTCTAAGAATATTCGAATATTCTTAGAACGTTCTGGGTACTGCAATCAGTGTATAGAATCGCGAAATGGTTCTTTTAGAACATAACTTTTCCCTGAGTTTCATTCAAATCGGAATAATATTACAGTTAAAGAATAGAAAAAAACTGAGCTAGTATCCATATAGCACAAATGTTCACTAGATATCCTAAGAACGTTCTAAGAATATTCGAATATTCTTAAAACGTTCTTAGAATATCTAGTGAACATTTGTGCTATATGGATACTAGCTCAGTTTTTTTCTATTCTTTAACTGTAATATTATTCCGATTTGAATGAAACTCAGGGAAAAGTTATGTTCTAAAAGAACCATTTCGCGATTCTATACACTGATCCTCTCAAGATAAACACTAAAAAAGCATATGAGTGACATATCCCCATCTATAGACCCGGTCTCCCTTACAAAGCCACCACGATACACGACGTGGCCTAATTAGAGATCAACGCGCAGCGTACTCACCTGTTTGCGGAGCGGCGTGACGCATTCGTCCTTGGTTCTCTCAAAGCGCTCGAACTTGAAGCTGTTGCTGCGGTAGAGCTCGTTGTCGCTCTGCTGCCTCCTGCAGAGCCGGCGCGTGAGCGCACGCGGCCTGCAGGGAGCACATTCGGTGGCGAGCTCCCAGTGCAGGTGCAGCATCGCGAGCTCGGCGGTGCATCGGGCCATCGCGCAGCCGGCGCGTCTCACGCGGCACTTCACCCGCTTGATGCGGCCCTCGGGCTGCGGCTTGTGGCCGCAGGGCTGCGTACCGTTGCAGCTGCAGTCGCACGTGCGACGCGTCCGCCGCGTTTTGACCGTGTGCGGACACGGCTTCGCCTCCTCGCCACACTCGCACTCGCACGGCGCCTCGCCGCCGCCTGTGTGAGCGCAGCTTAATCTCTCGTCGGAGCACTCGCACGGGTGCGCTTGTTGCAGCTGCAGCTGCGTGGAGGAGACAGGAGAAGAGGACTGAGGGGCCGCGCGTCGACGGGTACCAGCGCCGCAGGCTGCGTGCCGGCAGGAACGGTCCGTACATTCGCATCTGCGATGAAAGAAACATGCCAATGAGTGGAGGAGAGCGAACTCTTCAATAGCGAGGATACGTCTTGCCTGACGAGTTCGCGTGTGACGTTTTGCGAGCAATAAACAATAAACAGCAGCAGTAGTCAGCTTTCGCTTAAAAACCATACGAATGTTCACCTCGCTTCGCGAGGGTATTGATTTTTCCAGATTTATATAGCGAGTCTGAAGCAATTATTCCAACGCCTGAATATCGCAGGGGAAACGTCGATTTTGATACAGCGGCCGCGACATATTTCGACTGAGATATCTGAGAACCGCAAATTAAATCGAGAAAGAGTCCCCCTCCTATCGATTATTGGGAATTTCATTTAACGTATTATCGCACAATGATATCACGAAAGGCACCATTCGCGGCTCGCAAGGAGGAAAGCTAAAAAGGAGAATCAGGTCAGGCCGAAAACAAGAACCGCAATGGTGTGCGAAGACAGTTATATCGGGATTGAGTTTAACAGCGCGTAGATAATTGCATCGTGAACTAAATTGATTCATTTAGTATTTTTACATCGCAACTATACTAGTTACGTATTATTCCTTCAATTGTTACACAGTTCATATATTTCTTTTTCATTCATGCTAAAATTCAATAAAAAATTTATATATGCCGAATGCAAACGTTTCAAACTCTGTACATTTGTCAATGCAATTCGCCATTCTCAGATGTATGCAAATCGCTCAATAAAAGTTATGTTAAAATAATGTTTGCATATAACGCAATCGTGTACACACGTGGAAAATGACGCGAATATTTATATCGTAATTTATCAACGGAACTGCGCACGGCTCGTGTAGAACCGTGTAGACGAAAAATTACGATAAATATGCGACACGCATGTGTGTCCTGTGTATGATCCACTGTAGCACGTGGTACCTGGTAAATCAATATTACAGCATTCTTGCAAGGATAAAAGGCTGCGCGCGAATTAGCATTCTCTCAGGTTCCTCGGACTGACTGAAATTTGTTCCACCACGTCGACATGAAAACGCTTTCAAACGTCACACTTCCGCCGCGAAGGTTTCCCCCATGAATCTAGACAAGGTAATCGCCTCGTTCACCCTCCGTGAGTGAGCAGTTGCGTCACCCTCGGATAATAGGCAAAGGTAGACACAAGTTCACAGGTTAACGACACTAACTATTCATATTCATCGGAAAGAGAGCTCTGCTTACGATCGGCGCAAGTGCCAACAGCACGTTGGCTCCTGACCTCCATGCCTTCCACCCCTTTTACCGCGATCTTTCAGACCGCGCAGTCGGGCTTTATGCAACCGACCACCATCTACTACCACCGAACGACAATGTTTGAGCACTCATAAGAAACATCACTGATGTTTTTTTACGAATTAAGAATCGAGCGAATCGAGGGATTCACGAGGGTGAGGAAAGGTGCCGCGAAGCTGAAACACCCTCTACAACAGCGTGTCCGAATGAGCGTAACTGTTGCTCGTTATTCCCTCCACTCTTATCGATCGGTCGAAACTACTCAAAATTCGGGGAAATTATCAGCGTCAGCCACCCAGGGGAATTTACCCCGAATCGTCTGGCGTGACGACACGAGACAACGCAACTGAATAATGTACCAGCGACAGCTTTTTAACAACCACGACAGGAGGTCGTTGGTCAACAAGTGATATCGATCAAATAGAGCGGGTACCATGTCACGTCACCTCACCCAATCAATTCACCCACAGAACAATATTTGGGATAGCAGTTCCACCGCCTACCACCCCTAAACCGTCTACAGCCGACTCTACCCGATAACACAATCATATCGCCTTCGCTTCCAGTTGACCCCGCGACCCCGTATTCGCGAGGAAGCGCCGTCTGCCGAAATATCCGATCTCGATCTGAGCGAAGTGACGTTTATTTACCTTCTGATCCTTCGCGCGGCCGATCCTCGCTGCTGTGCATGCGGACAAGGCTGCGCGTCTGGCGGACAGTCGCAGCTGGTGGCCGGCCGCGTACGGCGGACCCTGATCAGCACCGGGTGCACCGGGCACGGCTGCACCTGACAGTCGCAGACGATGGTCTGAGGCCCGCGGGACTTACGGCCTCCGCCGCCGCGTTTCGCGCGTTGGTCCACGTGCAACTGACACGGCTGCACGGGGCAGCCGCAACGAGCTGCGGCACCGCGGCGCCCGGCACCCTGTACACGTCTCCACACCCGCTCCATTCAACGACCGGCGTGCGACTGACAATCGGCTGCCCCACACCACCCTCGGTAGGCACGCGCGCGCGCGCGCGCGCGTGCGACTTCGTCACCGCTTCGATCCTCTCCGCGCGACCTCGGCTGCGCTCGGCTCGTTGCTCTCCGAGGGATGAAACCCCGACCGTCCGTTGGGATGCGCGGTCCACGCCGCTGCCACCCTCGTCGTGCCACGGCCGACGACGCTATCTTGGATGGAACGTGGATGCGCGGACAAATCCGGGCGTTTACCCCGGGCTAGAAAGTCATAGTTGACTCGTGAGAGAGTCATTCCACGCGCGATAACACGACGCTTTCATATATATGTGCGTATTAAGATTTCCTAATTGGTGTTTACGTTCGAGGAACAGAAGGATCTTAGTACCATAATACTAGACGGTCACTGATGAGGGATGTGCGTGTATCTTCAACTTAACATTCGAATTTGACCAAGGTGTATCTACTGGTGCACAGAGGGATTTGTGTATGACTTGAGAACTTGTATATGTCTAAAATTAGAAAATTTTTATTTATAGAGATTTACAGTGATCATATAAAAGCGACTGTACCGTATAAAAGCGTATCCCAATGTATAAAATTTCTATCTACGTGGTTTGTATAATTTCTTTCTTATACAAAATTATGTTCTCTAAAATCAACGTACGTTAAGTCGACCGTGTCGTACTTAAAACCGACGCCGTGAATATCTGCTGTAGGATTCGCGGTATATTCTTGAGGTCCATACACACAAACGCACGACCAGAAGGCATGTGTTTTATCAGCCTGAAAGAGATATAGATATACCAATTTGTATCAATCCCGTTCACGTTACAAAAAAGAGAACGGATGATAAAAAGTAAAGAGATCAGTTTTTATTACTGCAAACTACGATTGATATCACCTGGTCGCTTGATCACCCAGCGATCCAATGAAGATAGCGTAGGCGTTCACGTCCACGTTAGACACTAATACCTTGGCGAGTCGTTCGGGACGAATACCATAACGTTCCAGATTCGCGTCCGAAAGAACGACCACGATAGACTCGTCGGAATCCTCTTTCGCCAGGCTCGCAATTGCGTGCTGCGTCGCTTCCAACGTGTTATCACCGGACAGGCAAAATTGTGAGTGAGCGTGCATTGTCTGCGCGGATTTTAATGAGCTCATAATTTTAACTCGCATAACACGGCCTTTTGCGAAAGAGAGTGGCATACATAAATCGAATTACCTTAATCACCTCCAGCCTCCGCTTATTATCCGTCGGCGGTTCCGTATGATCGACAAAGACAATACGGTAATCGTCGCCGGAATGGCCGACGATATCATATTGAAACTTTCCCTCGTAGCCGCTAAAAGCTTCCATTACCATGACACAGGCCTCCAGCTCGCGATCAAGCCGGCCGTCGTAGCCATTGAATCTGTACATGCTGCCGGACACATCCACCACTAGTTTCAATCGCTTCGGTTTTAATTGCGGAGCGCCAATCTCCGGCTCTTTCTCCGCTCTACGCCGGTAAATCGTTTTCTCGCCCGTTAATCCTTCGATTAATTTCGTATCGTCCAGCTCGCCGGACGTCTGGTGTCTGCACCATTGTCGCTCGTTACTTTTAGCCTGCAACGTGCCTACATAGGAAAGAAAAACAACTCCATTAGTACAACCGAATTTTCTGTCACTTGAGGACCAGATAGAGAACTCAATTGTAGGAACGAAAAGATTCCTGTAGGGAATTGAAAGGCAATTGAAATGATTTCAATTGCCTTCAGTTACTTCGACCGAGTTTTAATGCAGCTGAATGCTCAGACGAATGTTTTCGGTCACAGTAACAGATATATTGGCTTTACATCGTGCACTTGATACGCGTACTAAATAGTAACTTTCTATTAGATAATCTTAATATCGACGATATATATAAACAACGGTATATTAAGCTGATATAATACTCATCAAGAAAACGTATTGATTGAACGCGTCGTCGTTGATATGCATTGTCAATATTAAGATTATCTAATAGAAAGTTACTATTTAGTACGCGTATCAAGTGCACGATGTAAACCAGGCCACTATTTCTCGTTTAGTCCCCACTCAGTTATTGAGAATTGAAATTTGTATTCCATATATAAATGACTGTGTGAAAAATATGCGATGAGGGATACCTAGATTTTTCTGCGAAAAAACATATTCACTAACTCAAGAGTTGCTCACCTAAGATGACTCTTAAGGCCTGCACCTGATTATAGACGGCGTCACTGAATTGGCTGTACAGTTTGTGGTCATATTCGCTCATTCGGATATCCTTGAGCCGTTGTTTGAACGCGCGAAGACCCATCTCACGGGCGGCCTTCTTTATATGTTCCGGCACTGCATTCTTTTCCTCGTCACTAAGCTGATGTACCGTGTGTCCAGCGTCCAAACGGTAAGGTCCTCCCTTGCCGCCTAAGCCGGCTGTGTCTCTCCCTGAAACATAATTTATCGCGTGTTCTCTTTGCTTAAAATGACGTATATTTGTAAACACCAAGTATCAGTAACATCAACGTTATAATTTCCTACCCAACGATGTAAATATAACGCAAAGGTGTTGTTACTTAACAGTTACATTGTTGATTAGGAAATTGTAACATTGATATGATGTTGCTGTTAGATGATATTTACAAAACAATAAGGTTACATTCCGAAAACAATTTCGGAAACCTTGATTTTAGTTATAAGGCTGGTGGACCTTAACTAACTTAGATGCGTTTCGTAAACGATCAACTGATTCACGCGATTAGTTTCACAAAGCTGTTTTTGTTTTTGGAATTGTTTTCTATTAATTATAACGGTTGTCACGAAACTTCTGAAATTCCCCGATCGTAAAGTCGATCATGTAAATCAGCCTATCGATTACGGAACGTATATTCAAGTTAGTTTAAGGTCTATCAACCTTATAACTCAAACTACAGTTTCCGAATTCGATTTCGGAACATACTCAAGATTATATTATATTTTGTCTGAATTTTAATATAAATCATCGAGTTACATTGATTTAGATTGAAATTCAGACCAAACCTTAAGCAATGTTGTTGATTTTTATACATTATTTTAAGCAAAGAACTGTGTGTTGATGTATGATCGATTATACACGGGCGTGAGACTTCGAGCGACTATATAATCGTTTCAAGCAAGTATTATCTTCATTGTTTCATTCAGTATTACTCATACCTCCAGTCCCTCCGGCCCAGGTATTACCACCCACGTGGGGTTCGTTCTTTTCATCGACTTTCCCGTGCTTCGGCCCGCTCACGTCCAGACCTGAATATCTCTCTTTGGTAATCTGCAATTTCTCCTCGCCGCTGCCGATCATTTTGCGCCACGCACCCAACGACTTTTCTATGTTCGTAACGGATGTCTCCCATAAGCGGACGCAGCCACCGGCGTCTATTGTGACAAGACCTTCGTTCGACGTAAGCGACGCATAAAGCGGAAGGTCCTTCGAGTACAGCCATTGCGTCAATGGCGAGACATTGACCGGTCTATACATGAAAGAGATTTAACGAGTCTCTTAGTTCTACCGGAAGTAAGTGCACGACACAGCAGGGATATAATCTCCTACGTTATATTACTATATTATTTTCCAAGCGTATTAAAAACAAGAAAATGTAAAACACATGTTTCTTAATGAATTCTTTGGTGGCGTAACTGTACTATGTGTACGGTAAAAAATCTTGTATTTGTTTGAAATCAATCCGTGTAGAAACTTTTGGGTTAAATCTTTAAACATACTTGTGTTAATTTAACATATGTATAGATAATTGTATAGATATATGTATAGATAATTTAACAAGTGTATAGATAAGTTGAATTATATCAATATATTTATCTTGTATCAAATTAACACAAAAATTAGAGTGGATAGATTGAGAAATGTGAGATAGATGTGTTATTAGCGTGCGTAAGTTCCTGGAGTCTTCTGGGCGACTTTGTTTATGTATATTAAAGAAAAATATATACATGTTTAATCAAAGTTTCCCGCTTTCTACAACTTTAGCTCATTTTTCAGGCAACAAATGGATTCCTCGATTGAAGAATGATAGATCTTTCGATGCGATAAATTCGTCGACCCATTTTCATACTTTAACCTCGTTTCTAAATCGCACACCAGAGAAATGGCTCTGCATTGACCAAAATAGGTAAAAATCGAAAGAAGCAAGGTCTGGGCTATACGCCGGATGTGATAGGACTTCCCGCTCCAGTAAAGTATTCTTAGTCGCGGAAGCAACGTGTGACCGAGCATTGTGGAAATAAAATGACTTTTCGATTTCCTTTTCCTGTCCACGTTCTTTTTTCTGAATTTCTTCGTTCAACTGGTATTGGCGAATGTAGCACTTAGTAGTAATCTTTTCATTAGTTTTGAGTAACTCATAATCCCATATAACACAAGTCTCTAAAAGACTTCTTAAAGAATTCCAAAAGTGTTCTGAAAGACTTGGGAACTCTTTTGGGACTCTTTAAAAAGTCTTTTAAAAATTTATGCTATATGAGATAGAACACGCTTTTCTAGTTTCATCAAATACTTTTTCGATTTCTATTTTCAATTAAATTAAAAGTGTGTTGAAGTAAACAAATGTTAATTGTCATATATGTAGGCTCGAATGCAGGTTAATCAACCAAATTAACGTAATTAATGTTATTAACGTAAAGCATCAACTAGTTGAAAGGATTGTGAATTCTAGCGCTATCTAAACTAGCTATCTATCTAGCTCCAAGAATTTACGCACAGACCTAGTAAATTTAACACAAAATCTTTTTGTATACTGTATACTCACTCTGGGATGGGTATGTAACGCAGTTTCCGATATACTGTATCGACTATTTCCAAGTAACCGGAAATTGCCATGTGTCTCTTGTCCTTGGGACAAACTTCATTGGGAACCTCATCGGGCGAGATCGTTCTGATCACTTGCCCATGCTGCGTGACGATAGGCGTCATAAAACTATGCGTCCTCCCCTTCCTCGGCCAGAAGTGTAGATCGTTAGAGCCGTCTAAATCAGGAAAACCTATCACTATGCCGGCGTACGTATTATCGGTCACTATGACTCTATTTGGAGAGCTGACTTTCTGCTGAAGAGCCTCGCTCAGATCAGTCTCAGACAGGCTGCTCTTACTGCAGCTCAGAACACTGCCGGTCTTCAAGTACGCACTGTTGGATTCGTTCAATTCGCGTAAGATATTCGGACACAGATCTTGCTCCGAAGATTTCGTGAGAATGTACTTATTCTTCGACATGTCCTGAATCAACCATTTCTTGTCGGAGGCGAGCAAGAGGGTTTCAATGTCGCACGGCAAATTCATTGAGTAAGCGGTCATGGTCTGTAAATTGATAATATCTATCTTATTCTGGCCGTGCGTGAAGAAGACGAACAGATTATGCGACGACAACAAATCTGTCTTCATCTTCCACTGAGGACCCGTACTTCCGAAAACATCCGATATCCTGTCGTTGGCGATATCCAGCAACGATGAATACTGCAGTTCTCGAACAGAACCATCGTTCACATTTACCACGAGTGTAGAATGACTCTAAAAACGAACGAATCAAATTCGATATGTGCTGTAACGAGCAAGGGCTATCTCCTCTTTCTCTTTTGCTGAAGTATTACTTACAGTTTCCTCGTGAACCAAAACGTTCCCGGAGTTGTCGACCGCGATATTATAATACGGCATGCGACCCCGAGAAGCACTCATTAAGCCCTGCAACGATGTCTCGCGTATCTGTTCGGACTCCGGCGTCATGCTAAATATGCTCAAAGGGTTCGTCGTGAGAACGTATATCCTATCGTCCGTACCATCCCCTTTACTTCCATTCGCGACCGTTAAAGCCGTTACCGTACTGTTTTCGCTAATAGGTATCGTCCAGTAACTCTGCACCTCCGTGAACCAAGCTGATCTAGCTTCAACTCGATCCAGAGTTCGGTCGTTTTGCACCGGAAATACCGGTGACTTTAATTTAACGTGTCTTTCCTGAACGGGTACACTCACAAACGCGTTGAGAACGTTCCAACTACCGCAGATCTTCATCTCGGGTAAAGATATTCTGCAATGGAGAAAAGGATGGGGAACACTGCGAAATCTGGGTACTCCTCTTACGCCTTTATTCCTCTCGCTCTCTCTTAAGCATAAAAACTCGCTTTTCATAGCATAAAAACACTGGCAATGACGCAGCCCCTTCCCCCCATTGTACTATAAAATTTGCAAAAAATTTATAAAAACTAAGTTTTTATGAAAACGTTGCAAAATCTTAAATTGACTAACATATTCTTAATTCTATACACAGGATGAAGCAATGTAGCTGGAACCACTTTGATATTGCTGGATATTGATTTTAACGAAAATTAATTCGAAAAATGTAGATAATATCAAAACAAATTTCATTATGTTAAACAATATGATCTTTAAGCAATCCCTACCCGATTTATTATATTTTGAATGTAACAATCCATTGTTATAGTTCTGAAACGAAGTGTTTTCAATTACGTACTTCACTCTGTGTGTGTATTTCTAATGCTCGCGTCTGTTTGCTTAATGCGTGTCTCGCGATAGCTCAAAGTACATGGAGATTATCTTACTCCTTAGCTAAAGCGATATTAGCCGGGCTTGTCCCAACGGGAATCCCATGTTTGTGAAGCACTGTTACCAAAGTATTGAATATTTCCTGACTGTATCGATCGAAGTCGAAGACATTGCGTACCACATTGCCTAACGGTTCATTCGGAAATTTCTACAACATCGTCAAAAATATATTGTCAATCGTATAATGCTATAGGTCTCGAGGGTCTCGTTTCAACTCACCTCCAGATGTTTAACTATGTTGACCACTTCTCGAGTCGAGTAAGGATACGAGACTAAGCCTTGATCGGCCATACCTCTCAACTCGCCGAAAGCTTTCACTAATTTATTTATTACCAATTCGTCGATATGCGGGCCGTATTGCTTCAACAACTGAATCTCGCTGCGTATACTCGGATTGTCGACAGAATGCGTGCTAAAAAGATCGCCCAATGCTCCGAAGAAGTCGTTGCCCAAAAACGGGAAACCTGGTCGGTTCGCCAACACTATCATCCTGAAGTCTGGATGCATAAGTATACTGTTCGCGTTGCGCGCATTGCCGCTGGCGCGAGAAACGATTCGTCTGCCGTCCGACAGAATCATTTCACCCGATTCCACCAGAGTCTGAAAATGACAGGTTGCTCTCTCGCGATTTATGGAGCGACAAAGTGAGGCGCTTGTAATAGCTGTCAGGCTATTATACGTACTTTCAATATACACGTCACGTGTGTGGGTGCTTTGTCCGCCTCGTCGACGACAAGAACGTGGCCCAGTTTCACCGCCTGTACCAGTGGTGAATCTTCATAAGCAACTTTGCCGTCCCTAACCATCGGCTGTAGGGTCAGAGTCTGCACGGTCGTGTCTCTGTGCAGTTGTATATACTCGCGCGGCCTATTCAGCAACTGCAACAATCGGTCCACGATCTTATTCTTGCCGACGCCCTGATTGCCGACCAACAGAAGATCCTGACCAAGACTGAAGTCCTGCAGCAATCGCTCCAACAGCGCCACGTGTTCCGGCACGTCGTAAAACAAGATATCCGGTACTTTGCTGAGAGCCGCGGTGTGGTATCGATCTACCACGGTGTCGCCGATTCGCACAGTGTCTCCCGTAACCGCGCATTTGATCTCGAAATCTGCTGCGGATACTGACGGCACGATATTCAGCCGGCGGCAGCAGTCCTCGAGAGCCTGTTTTGCGATCGCCGGCAAGAAACGCGCCAAGCACGCGCGCTGCACCGCGTCGTAGGCGTCGTTGCACTGAAATCTGTGCATCCGCTCGGCGATCCGCAGTAGCTGCCGAGTGCTGAGTGATCCAGCGAGAGACTGTAGGGTTGGATCGCTGGATAAGCGCAGTACATGCACTAGCTCTATGATACTCAATAACGCTCGGCTGGGCTCACCGAACTGCAACAGAGCGTTTCAGTGAGAACTTACTCGGAGCCGAGAACACCACGACACTCCACGCCAAGCACAGCGCTATCACCTTCGATCGAATGATATGGATCTCCTCGTGCTGATCAAGCGGTCGCATCTCGTGGAAGAGGAATAAGCTGAGCAACTCGGAATTCAACCACTGCCCGGACGAGCTGTTAACTACCGGTGGCTCGGCCAAGGCTATCAGCCTGAAAGCGGGGTCGATTCGCAGAACACCGCGATCACGCATGTCCTCGTCGGAACTGCCGTGCTCTTTCTTAATCTCGTCATAACGGTCGGCTCGCACGAGCCGTTTGCCGTCGTGCAACTGCAGCTCCCGGTCGTGGACTAATCTGCGAGAGGCAAACACGACGTCACCTTGTACGTTAACCCTGAAACGCGCACCTACCGAGATTCCTTGAGCGCAAATTACCTGTGCAGTACAGCCAAGGTGCTGGAATGAATCCTATTGATTCCATCCAACACGGCCAATTTGCCGTGGAGGGCCGCGTCGACCAACGGCGAGTCTCGCCAGACTGTGTCGCCGTTAGGTGACGTGGTTCGTTGTTGTATCAGGTCCCTAGAAGTCATATCCTAAGAAAATATTTCAACCGTTTCAAAGCGAACTGTTGCAGTGACCATAGCGATAAAAACAGACAAAGAGGAGAAATAAAGAGGGAAAGTGAAAGAAGGAACTAACGATAGAATCATGTGCCATACCCGGCGAGAAATACCCGAGACTTGCCTGATAAAGTACTATAGGCTCCACTTGGTAGCCTAATAAATCAGCGAGCCGTTGAACGGTAGTGGACTTGCCACAGCCTTTCGGCCCGATTAAACAGAAATCGGACGTCAAATGTGACTCCAGCATACTCGCCAACAAGTTATTTTGATAATTCGTCTCTATATAAGCGTCATTGCTCGCGCTATTAAGTGTCTGACTCACACCACAAGGAACCTATGCGTATGAAACATAAATTGATTAAACGATAATGATCGATACACAAATATAGATAAATACAGGCAGATAATGCTGGTGGCTTACGTGAAAGCACGTTTCCGCGTTAGCGCGCTTTATGCCAATCTCCAAGAGATCGTCAACTTTCCTCGTGACGCTTATTTTGCTGTTAACAGTACTTTTCTTCACAGTATTATCCAATACGCTAAAGGTACTAAGGATATCCTCCACTGCGCTTTGACCTTCCTTCGCTAGGAACAGTTTGTACGGATAAAATCTATAGAAGATGTCGTACACCGACAAGTCCGGGCTTTTTTCCTGCGTAAAGCACGCGCAAAATTAGGTTGAAACCGGTGGAATTCGTCCGCAATCGATTCTCAGGAACGATATTTACCAGAATTACAGCGGCCGACGACAAACTATCCAAAGGAAAATCCGGCAAGCCTATGGAGAAAGCCTCCTGACTAACTAATGCGTGGGCACATGACAACAATTGCGACAGTTTGCCGGCGTCTACGTTCGGCGCTAAATTTTTCAGGGTATCGAATTGTTCCTTTAAAAAAGATTAAGGAGAATCTCGATGTAGTGTACAGCACAAACTCGGTATCCCGCGGTTAATATGCTAATCTATTCTAGTGTGAAAACCCGTTTTCAAGACCCGATTTTTGGGAATTAATTTTAAGCATTTTAATGGTTAAACCTACAAAGTTAATGTTTTATACTAACATTTATTCATCTTTGAAGAAACATCTCAAATTTTCTCAAAGCTTTTTATTTAAAATTGGAGAAAATACAAGTGGATGAAACAGATCACGCCGTTTTCCATCAGGCGTGTTGATTATCGCCGTCCTCGTCGTCTGAAATAAACCAATTTGCTTTTATTTTGTTCTTTATGAATGTGGCTATCGCCCGAACTAAAATCTTTTTGATATTTTTAAAATTACTATTTTTTCCAGATCGCGAAAAGTTAGAATTTTTTAGTAAAAATCAGACTATCTTTTTAAGCGCCGACATTTTGTCAATTTTCCTTCAAATTATTTAATTCTAGTTTGAGCGATGGCTACATTAAAAACGAAATAAAACCAAATTCGTTTATTTCAGATAACGAGGACGGCAGCAATCAACACGTCCGATGGAAGATGATTTTACGGTGTAACCTGTTTCGTCCACTCGTCCACTTGTCCACTTATTTTCTCCAATTCTGAATAAAAAGCTTTGACAAATTTTGAGATATTTCTTCAAAGATGAATAAATATCAGCACAAAACATTAACTCTGTAGGTTTAACCATTTGCTTATAATTAATTCTCAAAAATCGCCTTGAAAACAGGTCTTCACACTAGAATACTCCTTTAAAATCTAATGTATTAAGTGTACAAATGGTGGAGGGAAAAAAATAATTCAAATTTTATTAAGCAGTTGAGACAAGTAATTCTAAAATCAATTAATTTTTCACTTTTTGCGGTCATATATTGTTGACATGTAAGTATTCAAAATGACATTTGGAATAGAATCCATTTGGGAATGCAAACGTTTTGGAGCGCATATAGAAAGATTACGATTGGTCTATAGCACGCTTCAAAGCGTTTGCAGCGTTAAAAGGATCCTGCTTTTAGTTTTGCGGAAGGTCCAACTTAAAACTATTTAATAGTGTCAAAAATAACAATAGATATCCCACAATATATTCTCTACGAATTTCAATAAGGAAAATATGCTGTAAAAACATGCGAATCGGCTTATTCATTTCTCGATGAAGGTGTTGTATTGCACGATTGTGTGTACACATGTTGATTTAAACGGCTTAAAAGCGACTTAAAAGTGATTTCAGTCTGATCGACAAACAACACCTTGGAGATCCTCGGAAGTACAACGATTATTTGGAGCAACTGCTCACTGAGAATTCAGCATAAATGCAAAAAAGAGCTTGCAGAGCAGTTGAAAGTAGTGCAGTAAACCATTTCGAAACGCCTACACGAGATGGGAAAGATAAAACGAAGGACAATTCGTTCCAACTCGCTGAAGCCAACTCGCTGAAGCCAACAAAAATCAATGAGTGGCAGTGTGCCTTCCTTTTCTCAATAAGCAGCGTAGAAAGTCTTTCTCGTGAAAAATCGTTGATGTGATGAAAAATGAATACTCTATGACAATCCGACGCGCAAAAAGTTATGGATAAATCCCGGTGAATCATTAACATCGATCGTGAAGTCCAAACGCTTCGAAAAGAAGGTTCTGCTCTGCATTTGGTGGAATATCAAAGGCGTGATTTATTATGAGCTTTGGGAGCCGAGTAAAACAGTTACTACGGACGTTACAGCTACCAACGCCAATTAATCCGCTTAAGTCAGGACTTGGAACGAAAGCGCCCGTATATTGGCAAAGGAGAAATTGCTGCGTGACAACGCCAGGCCACACGTTGCTTTTAAGACAAAAGATACCACAATGAATCTTGGCTGGAACGTCTTGCAGCATCCGGCGTATTCACCAGACATAGCTCCTTCTGATTACTACTTATTCCGGTTGATGTAACACGCCTTATCCGATACGCACTTCTAATAAGTGGATGAGATCCGAAAATGGCTTGACGACTTTACCATGACTAAGAGGATAGAATTTTTCCAAGATGAAATTAAAGTAAGATGACTTAAAATTATAGAAAGCAATGACGAATACTTTGAAAAGTTTGTTTTACTTTTCTTTAAATAAACCTTGAATTTAGCCGAAGAATTTGGATTATACATTTGTACACTTAATACATAATTATGTGCACTCGCGTTTTGAGTACCCCCCAAATTTTTTATATTGGCAAAATAATGATTCCGTCGATATTGTGTAAAGTTTTTCACGAAGAAAAGTAAGCAGATCTTATTTTTTCAATTTTTTATCGACGCTATCTTACAATACAAGATTAGTGCTTTTATATTCATTATCATGGCTATAAGATTTATTCTGTAACGGGGGTACCCGTGCAAACGCATAAATATGCATGATTATGTATATTCAGAAAATTGTATTTCTCGAGGGTCAATTTTATCCGAATCACAAAACTCTTCATCAGGAGCGTTTTTTCAGATTATCTTATGAAGGAAAAAAGTGGTACTCGAACGGAATCAATCCGTGGACCTTGAAGAGTTAAAATCCCGAGTAAATGATGATCCCGGCAAAATTTCGTGGATTATTTCTGTTTCCTGTGGCATAAGAGTTATCAGAGGATTTTACAATGAATTTTTAAGCATTTCACACCGGAAGAAGCGAGTGGATTTTCGGATTAGGATCATTAAATAAGCACATCCAACTTACGCTTAATGACGTCGCGCGCTGTCCGGGAACTCGCGGATAATAACATTCCGCACTCGCGCAGCAATGGCAGCAGTCATTTGGAAGCCGACGGAAGTTCCGAACTGGCGCGCAAGTTTACGGGTGTTACGTAATATATTTAACGTTACTTAACGGTCTATCTGCAGTGCGTTAAACCACTCGAATTCGGTAAAGCGAAGCGGAGTTATCTTCCCATTACTTCCGCCTTCTCGTAAGCCGCTCGCCCACATAGCCCACATAGCCGCTCGCAACTGGCGCGCACACGTGAGGAATGTTATACCGCGATTCGTACGGAAAACGGTCTGCTCTCCTTCCGAGAGTGATTAACACCGAGAGCTACCCAACGTTGCGCGCCGAGTACCTGAATAACTACCACTCGGCACGGAAGCCGCGAGATACCCCGCCCACCCTCGGAATTTCCATCGAAAACTTTCAATCGGCCCAACCCGGTTATAATCTCGAGCCCTCGATCGGCCGTAATTGCGGCGTTGGCGGAAATGTGGTTTTCGTGACCGTCGCCGGGACTCGCCGCGAAAATAGAAGAAACGGAGAATCAATTTTGCCAAAGCGCTCCGAAGGTAACTCCGCCGACACCGTGTTCGGTGTTATTTGCGCGTCGTACTTTCGACCTGATATCGAATACACATCGCGCCAATTCCGGGCGCGCGAGGAGATAAGATCAACGACCGCCCCGTCGTCGCGATAAAAATATAACTTCACGCATATACAGCGCGCGGCCTCGGGACGAAAGTTCGCGGGATTCCTCCAGAGATGTGTCACCGGGTCTATCACGCCCATTCACTGCCTATTCCGCGGACACGCGATTCTCCATTTCCGGCAATTTTCGTGGTTCAATGCACTCGCGCTGAAGATCAAACATGATACCGGCATTATTATACGAGGCAGAAAATCCTTACTAATTTAACAGTCATCCCCGCACTCTTGCGACTCCGGTATTTAACGACTGTTAATACGGGCCTAAGGATTGTGTTACGCCCTAAATTTAAATGCACATCTATTATCCGCAATGATAATCGCGAACGGATCGCGGTGAACTTAAATTGCCGCGATATTTTTCTGTAAGGGATATCCATCAGCGGCCAAGTCAAACTTCTATTTTAACGCGCTGACTTTTGCGATGATTGATTATTAAACGATGATACCGTGTATGTAGAAAACAGATGCGACCCCGCGACCCTTATTTCGCCGGCGAAGTTTTATTGCCTTGATAATAGGCGCTAGGTGTATTATACGGCGCGCCTCCCGCGAACACGGCTCACGCTCTATTTTCATTTTCCATTATAGCGACAGTTGTTTCGCAGAGGTGGCACATAAGTCAACGAAGTCACGACCGACGCGACACATAATCCGTATAACGCAAGAATAGCTTCAATCCAGCTCGAGTGACATTGCGCAATGTAATTTTATAATTGCGCGTTGTAACAGCAAGAAACGTACGATTGTTATTGCTCTCCGCTGGAGACGAAAAGACTCGAGCAAAAGAACGATATTGCCATCGCTCCTCTGCACGCTTTCGAATAAAAATCACCGATGAAATTCTCAACGTCAACGAACGCGTGCTTCTCGGATTTTTTGTTCCGTATATTTGTATATGTTACGTTCATAAATCCCCCTGATATGTACTTTTCGGCCCGTTTCTGCGCGTGACAGCAATTTCCTCGGACTAATAATATGTACACTACGCTTCGTGACGGATAATATTCGTTTCATGCGAAACGATTTAAATACTCTATGCCGTGTAATTATTTTGAAGTTTTAAGTGATCTATTTCGCGAGTTATTATTAACTAAGTTCTATTCAGTTTCCGAGCGGCGTAAAACAAGGCGATGTCACCGTCGACTCCAATTCCCTCAGCGTACAATAACGGGTTCGCATCACGGCTTCGGATTAACTCTCGACGCGAAACGACTCACGACGTGATTTATCACAGAATATCGGAACTAAGTGAGCTCAAGTGAAGAGAATAACATCTCCTTCTGAATATCACGCACTGATTTTTATAACGCGAGATTGGCCAAGAGGTTTCTGTCTGTTCTTTTTAGCTGAACTGTCTGAACTGGTGCAGACTGGTGCAATAAGTTAGAGAAACACATTTGTCTCGCTCTAACTTATTGCATCAGCGTGCAGCAGTTCAGACAGTTCAGTTAAAAAAAAAGACCTAAGTTTACCTGCACTGAGAGAAATTATTTGATAAGAAATTAACAAACGAATATTTCCGACCAAAATACCGATGAATTTTTATATCCGTTCGGAATATCCGATTAAATTTAATCGAATACTTTCGATCATAATGGAATTTCATCAGATAAACAGATAAAATTATGAACTGATATTTCCTGATCGGATATAAAAATTCATCGGTATTTTGATCAGAAACGTTTGTTAATTTCTTATCAAATAATTTCTTTCAGTTCTATCGGTATCGAAAAGCGTGCATAAGATAAGACGAAAACTTCAATATCCCAGCACTTAAAAATATGAAACAATTATATTCACGATCGAGTTAAAAAATAATAAATTATACAAACAGACTTTCTATGTATATAGTTGCAAAATGATTTTAAACCACGGAAAGATAACAATGTTTGAACGTGTAATAATTGATAAATAAAAGGAAAACATTTTAAGAGAGAGAAAGAACACAATATTCTTAAAGTTAGTCGTCTTTAGTCTACAGTCCAAGTTTTGTTTGTCTCATCTCGTGTCGCGTGTAAAAGAGCATTTTGCTTCAAATAAACATATTCCTCTCGAGACGGAAAAAAATTAGAATAATTTATAGTAGATTTCTAATTAATGGTCTATTCCTTCTATTTCATTAGAAGAAAAATACTCCTTCGGCAAAAGTAATCATTTTTCAAGCAATAGCTTGGAATATTATAGGAAAATAGCAACGTACAACTAGAATTCTTTTCCTTGAGTGTTAGAACATTTTCTTTTTGGTTTTAGAAAAATTCTTTTGAGGCTACATATAAAAGGATGGGATTATATTTTTGGTGAATTTATACACGTTTAAACTTTATTATTTATTTACCCGTGATTTAAAAAATTATTCACACTAATATTCAGTAACGACTTCTAAAGGCCGTGTTTCTCTTTTCTCAATTAACAAAGTAATACTAAAAATAATAATAAAATAACTAAATAATAATAAATAAGGAAAAAGTATATCAATTCCCAAACACGTAATTAATCCTGGACAGTATTATTTTGATATTTAAATACGAATATTTAAACTTTTAACATAGAATATATGTATATACGTGTTGAAAGAGTTTACATATTTATATTTTAAAACCAAAACAATAAGAATGTTCAGGATTAGGTGCATTAATATTTTTACCCTAAAAAACAGTGAATGTAAACTAAAAAAATGATGAAAAATATGATGAAAAAATAGTAAAGAATAAAAAAAATAATTTCATAACGTCATATATACATTACACAACTCGATATATACTTCAAATCTGCGCAGAGCACTTGAAAGCGCATTAGCGCTAAAGCTATTGTGGTTTCATATCTCGACAAAGACATGAAATACACGAAGTCCTAGGCGGTCAATCACGCACTGCCACTTCGGGGTAACATGTGCGTAAACAGTATAATTGAATATCGTAATACCTATAATACGAATGTCGTCTTTCTCACGTCGTCGTACAGCGCGACGAAAAATCGGCGGATACCAGAAGTATTAATCGCAGCGGAAACGGTACCTCGCGCGGAAACGGGGAAATGGCCCGCGTTCGTTGCGTTCATAATATCCTCGCGCTGCACGTCGCACTCAATCACAGACCAGAGACTCCAGCGAGGACGCGCGTTTCTCGACGAAACTGAAGTTCGGCATGACGATGTGCAACTGCAGCCGGCCAGGCGGAGACCACATGGCTAGCAGACCGTCCCGCGGCTCGCCCTCGTCACCCTTCGAATCGTCCTCTGTGGCATTCAAAACCCGGTTCTTGGTCGAGACACCCGACGAGACACGAAGAACAGCGTTCTCCTCTTTCCGGGCCTCGTCCTCCTCCGTCCTCGCGTCCTTTATCTTGGGTAATCGCTTCCGCGGGAATCTCACCTCGTCGTCGACGGTCTTCGCTAGGCACTCGAGCTTGCAGTTCTTCTGCAGCTTGTAATTCTGCACGACTATGCGCTCCTTGGTCATGAGGGCCGAGCCTTCGCGTCTCTGCGGGAAGTAATGTCTTCTCTTCCTGACGGCGCTCCACCGCCGGTCATCCTCGGGTTTCAAGCTGCCCTCTGATTCCGCCTCCAGGTCGTAATCCTGCGCCCTTCCGGAAAGGTCCAGCCACTGCAGCACTCTCTCGGACAGCGGATTCCAATGCACATCCGACGATCTGTCGACGACCTGCTTACGCGCCAACACAGTGGAGATCGTGTGTCGTCGCAGACACAACGATTTCCCGACGCTGCTGCTGCAATCGAGGACGGCCTCGTCCGCCGAAACGCTGGTGGTCTCTTCCTTCTCCGGCGTCTGGCAATTCTCACGATTCTCGTCCAACTTGTCCACATTGTTCACGTAGATTTCCAGGAGGCCACCGGTTTTCTCGGCGCACATCCTCGTGCAGGGCGGCGCCGACTGTCTCCGTACGATTCTCGCCGGGATCTTGTCTCTGTCCGGGAAGTTTTTCTCTACCACCACGTGCAGGTTCGTGAAGCAGCTGTTCAAGCGATCCAGCCTCGACTCCGTCTGCTGGCGCATCGCGGGGAAACTCTTCTCCTTGGACGTTCGCGCGCGCCGGCGTAGCCGCGGATTAACAACGGGATCGTCGGGTGTCAGGACAGCGTGACGCATTCCGTCCACCCAGACCGTCCGAACGAAGAGGGGCCTCTCTGACGACGCCCATATAGCCGGCATAACGCGATACACCACGCCCGGAAGGGAGTACAAACAAATTGTATTGTAGCAATATTGTTTGAACGGCGATCAATTTCCAAAGTCGATGAGAAAAAAAACCTCGCGCTTACCACGCCCAATAAATAATTGGAGAGTTCAATAACATTGCATTTAACGCACTGTATAATAGATAAACGCAACGCAGCGCTGCGCTATAAATTCAGCCCTTAACGTGTCATTTACTTCACACGTCTTTTTCAGAGTGCGGGACGGATCATAATAGGGAGAAGAAGAAAAAGAAACGACGTAATTTCTTCGATTGTCTTCAGCAATCGCGAGCGAAAATGAAGTAGTTCGCGGACGACATCGTTAACGGCACCTCTCTGTTGGCACCCTCGCGAAACTTCCCGGGAGAATCTCAGAATAGGTCGACAGTACAATTACATCCGTGACAATCGCGACTAACGTGGTCGCGCTGTCAGAGAGCGCTGCCTGAAACTTGGAGAACCACCACGGGCTCGCGTTTCTTTCTAATCTAACACGTAAGTCCGTTCGAATCGTACGACGTATCGACTCGCGAGCGTACAGGAGGACAGGTAAGGTTTCGACTGTTCGGGACACGCGATCCGAGCCGCGATGCCTGTGACCATGGCGCAGCCACGAGCTCGGTTTATATGCGAGCGAGAGGAGCACCGGAAGGGATGGACGGATCGCGGGGGGTTCCGTGCGACCTCCGCACCCCATGCCTAATGGTACGCCACCCCGGCCCCATAAATCAGACGAAAGTTTCGCGAGTTATACCGCGCGAGCGTCTCCTGCGAGGCGCGTGATCGCATAACTATAGGATACACGATCTCTGAAGACCGTCGCTGAATTATTAAATTGTTGCTCCTACGTATTACATTGTCCTAGCGATGACATCTGATAGCCGAACGCGGGGAGCACAATTGGAGAATAAATCAGGATTCGTGGCCTTAATCGTCGTCGTGGACGAGGCAATTTTAATAATAGTATAGCAACGTCCTCCGCACACGATCGCAAGTCCCTGATGAAGTTGACTCGGCGAACTTTTAACGAGTGGGTGTCGCTATATGTGGTCGGGAAGTTGTTTAACGACTTTCCTAAAACGTTAATTCGCCTCTATATGCAGGCATACCTTCCGGAGAGGATAACACCACGCGACAATCTACACGGTATGTAACATTTTGATGCTTTTGTGCAAAACGACACATTGGCACGTAATTCGTATGTAATTGCTTTCTAATCGACCCATTAACGTTTGAAGAGTTGCTCAGGTACACTTACCTCGAACGTCGGTGGCGGGACGTGACGAGCCTGGAATCTGGATCTCAGGGGCGGATCTAACGGATGACCCGGGTATCGCGGTGACGGTAGACCTAGTGCTATCACTATGAAATCATCACTGACTCGTACCAAACGCCACGCATCTAATTCTGCTTGAGTATGTATCTGCAAATCAATTTTCTTAGTCACATTTTGTAATGACAAAAGACAGGTAACTCGTCACACACACATACAGAAAGAGTCCCATACACTGGGAAAAAATAATTGAAAATTTATTTGTGGGCTACAAAATTTATTTCTGTGAGTAAATTTTATGTCCCACAAGTAAATTTTCAAGTAATTTTGTTCTTACTCCTACATCAGCTATATATTTTATTTCACAAAAATAAACTTATATCCGAACTTATATCCCGTAAATAAATCTTCAAATATTATTTCTCAGTGTAAGCGATGAACTCAATAGAAAATGCTGCATAACAAAAAATAAGCATTCTAATAACTTAAAGTACCTTTAATAACTTGTCGTAGCGCAACGCCGGAATAAGAAATCTACCATCCTCTAGATGCATCTCGCGATTTTCCAACAAATTATTTAACACAGGTAACACATTACGTTCTGCCTTCTCCACACCTTCGATTACAAGAACCCGCCCATTAGTCGCGGCTCTCACCGCGCTCTGATCATGATAGTATGCGGTGCCACTTTTGATTTCTCTTCTCTGCTTCAAATCAGCTTCTGTTGTGTCACGTGTGAGTGCAATAAACTCCAATTCTCGTCCTGTTAGTTCCAAAAAGGCCAAAGCTAGTTCTCGTCTCCTTATACCAGGACCACCCATCAAAAACATGTCTTGATGCAAGACATCTTTCTGCAGCATCCATTTTAAATGCCTCAGCGTCTCTTGAGACTGTGTATATAATACTGTACAAAAGTGGATAAAAATATATATTATATTTGTAATTTATCAATTCCTATACAATTCTTGTTATATTTAAGTGATACAGAATGTAACTTACAGTATTTCCTTGGGACATACTCTGGAGTTTTTGCTGGCCTTACTTCCTTTGATACATCAGCAATAGTGACAACTATATTTTCTGAAATACAAACAGGTAGTCAGCCAATATGGATATCAGATTACTTGACAAAAGCAAAGGTGAATTTAAACTTACCTGATTTACAACGTAGAGGTGTGGTAAGATTAGGCCAAAGTCTAGCAGATTGCCCCAAAATTCTGCTTGATAGGCGGTAAGAATTCCAAGAAATGGATAACATCTCGAAAATAGTAAGAATTCCAAGAAATGGATAACTCAACTTTCTCTAAAAATAACATGCTACACGCAAGCAGCGGTCTGTAAAATGTTAAATAGAAAAATTACAAATGCTGCATAGAAGCAATGCATAATAATACAAGAATAATATTAAAAAACAAACAAGTGCCAGGTAAATTTTTGCCGCATTATTTATATATTTCAACATATTTTAAATATACTGACAATTATACTGTATCATACTACGTTATTATACTATTGTATTATACTACGTTTATTCCGTAAATTTGTTTTACATACCATTGTTCACTAAAGAGTCTCATAGCGTAGAATAACCTAAAACGTCGACATTGTGAAATCACGCGGGTATTTACGTCATTCAATGTCATCGCGACGTCACACGTGTGCGTAACACAATACATTTCAGCTGAACTTTCTGCACTGGTTCACAAAATGTACATTAAATGCTTTTTTAGCAGAATAAATACGGAGATACGTAACAAAAGTCTGAACAATTTCAATTTAAAACCCGTAATTACCGTTTACTTACAACTTAACAAAATCGCAATCATGGATATCAATAAAGATATATAAGTATAGAAATGTGTAAGTAAAAAAATGTGTAAGCAAAATTTTAACTTTAGTTATCCAGATTATAACAAATAGACAAAAATCAATAAACACTAATTTCCATAAAAAAAAAATTATAATAATATAAGACGCGATTCAAGTCTTCAATGCAATTTTTAAACCTATTATTTTTATTAGTTCTAAAAATCTCCGCTACGAGCCGCCACTATCTTTGCTGCAGATCGAGGTGTACTAATCCATATGTATCAACAACATTGTATAATATTTTTGAGAAAATTACATACTTACTTTAGTGATTGTATGACAAAGATCGGATAAGCTTAACACCTAGACCCGTATACCTTTTGTACACCCTTTATTCTCAATAAAAAAAAAACGAGGTCGTAGTACAAGTCAACGACAAGTCAAACGAATTTTTATTTTCAAATTTTACAATTCAGTATATAATAATAAATTAAAACACATATGACTTCTATTTTCAAGTAATTTATATGACGTAACTGTATAACAATTAATGTTACAAGTTTGAAGTCATTTCTTGCTAAAATATAACAAATGAAAAATAGTGATCGGTCAATTTTTACCACATCTTTCATTTGATTACTTAGACTATAAATTTATACTACTTAAAGATATGAGAATTCCAAAAAGAAAATTTTACGTTTTTTCTATTCATTTCTTAACGAATGTCGTATGCTATTCTATTCTCGTTCTATAAGTAATTAAATTGCATTTTTACTTCAACATTAAATAACTCAGCAAAAAAGAATCATACCGCAATCTAAATGTGCGCAAATAAAAAAAGAAAACTCACGTTTCCATATAAATATTATTTATAATTATTGTTTATAATTATTGTTTCCAACAAACATTGTGTGATTTTTAGTTTATGCAATACAACTTGACAAACTTCATGCATTTAACAGATCTTGATTTATTATGTAACACTATAAGAAACAAATAAACTGTACAGTCGTAAAACATCTAAAAACTAAAGACTACAAAACTACAAAATAGTTTTTAAATAATCTCACAGTGTGTATGTGCTATTATTTTTATGGAAATTATACCTTGTTAAGTTTTCCATATTTTTCACAATTAAGAGAATACAATAATCTATAATACACATCTATAATATTTTCTCTTATATTCTCCATCTGATTATAAGTTACATAGTAAACTATTGTTGTTGAAATATATAGTTACATATAGTTATAAATATATATAACTACACATACAATAATATATAATTATAATTAATATAATATCAAAATGGCCCTAATAACTTGAAATAATACGATGTAATAGCAGATAGGAATATTTTTAAAATAATATGACTACACATAACAAAACAAATGATCTTTATTTTTAATTACCACGATACAATGATGAATCCAGACGAACCTTTAATCTTCAATACCACGACTGAACAACGATTATTATTATTATTTTCTAGCAGCTTATATTGTTACATGAATACATAGACGTCTCGGACAGGGTTCGTCTTATGGCAGCATTAATTTTACAAAGTCACTTATGCTTACATGTATTATTACATAAATTCCAATATTAATTTTATAGGAATCAAAGTTCAATCGAATAATTAATTGCAATTTCGGACAAACTCTACAGACCCGCATGCGTAATGCATTAAATAAATTACATTAATATATATATATATATATAATGTAATTTATATGTATTAACGTAACATATTATATATATTCCTATTCACTGCTATTATTTGCTCTGTCATTTCTCTGTTATAATATTTTATATATAATTTTATTTCTAATATGCTGGCCAGTATGACAATTCGTACAAAGTTCATTGATAATATGAAGCTTATTAATATATTGTAAGCTTGTTAATATAGTAATCTTAGCTTTGTGACTACTTGCGACTTTATAATACTTTCAGAAAATAAAATGCTATATGTAATACAATTACACATTGAAATTAAAATAAAGTCTTTTATGGATAAACGAAAATTTCTTTCTCAAGATTTTACAAGTGTAATATTACTGTGGAAACATCATAAGCCGATTAATTAATTGATAAAAAATAAATATTCAGCAGTGGCCAGCAGCAATTTTACATAAATTTACTTAAACACGTGATAGAAGTACAGAAATGATGAATCATTGATTTAGCGTATTCTTCAAACGAATTATTCTCATATAAGCGTAAAAATGTGTATTTAAATATATTATATATAATAAAGATGTTATTTATTATATATAACATATTTAAATACACATTTATTTTAACAATTTTACGTAAATTCACTTAAACACGTGATAAAAGTACAAAAATGGCGAATCATTGATTTAACATATTTTTCAAACGAATTATCCTCATATATGCATAAAAATGTGTATTCAAATATGTTTTATGAAACAAAACTGTTATTTAATATAGTTAATATTTTATATTAACTATTTAGTATTTAACGCAGCATATATTATATGCAGTAGAAAATATAACATCAACTTAATATTTAGAGCTTCAAAGCTTATTTGGATCTACTAGCTTTGTCTGAATGTTCGATTATTCGATTATAACAGATAAATTTAATGTTTTATTTCAGGTGGTTAGAGGATTTGAATTTTCTATAATACTCGAACAGTCGAAGCGTCAAATCCGAATCCGTTCGCAGCGGATTTCATCAAATAGAAGTGTTCGCGGTAAATTTAAATATGCTTCTCTGACAAGTCAAATTTGACAATCAATAAATTAATATTTCTTGACATTAAATTAATGACAATCTGATTCGAATTCGACTCGATATTGATTTTAGTTAGAACCAAATAATTGTCCAAATTATAGTAATGGAATTGGAAGTTTTCGTTTGAGATTTTTATATTAGAACCGATCTCGCATATCGGATAATCAGATATCCGAGTACTTTTCCTTTTCAAAGTACTACTCAAAAGTATACTTTCGAGTTTATGTAGCTGCATTCTGATAATCACTGTCAGTACTATACTATAGATTTTCAGTACTGGCAAGGAAAATATCAAGACGTAATCACAATATATTACGTATTTTCATAAAATTATAGTTCATATTTCCATAACACCGATTATAGATTTATTTACATATTTCCGGACTGAATCCAATTAAGATAACTTCACATGCGTTATTGCTTCGATGGAATAAATTTGTCGCGGAAAAATGTAAATCGACCTTGACAATAATACCGTTATCTCTATTCTCCAATAATATTGAGAAAGAATCCTAAATATCCTACTCCAATGAGTAGAAAACTAAAATTTCGTAATAAACAAATAAATAGCTACTTCTATTTTGACAGAATCTACCTACAATACTGTAAATATTATTCGTAAAGTTATTAAGTCTTTGTCAGTAACTTTTGTCAATATTGAAAGTCAAAATGTAACATTCATAAAGCAATCCTATACGCAATACGTATACATACGCATCGTATGTTTATTTTATATTTTCTAGCAACAAAAAGTTGTATAGGAATACAGAACATTTACATACAGCAGTCAGCCGTTACCATGAAGATGCACTTTGCAGATTGTATACGCAACAATAATCCCTTTCCCAGTTTTAAAAGTATCTCTGAAGAATATTAAACCATCATTAAAATGCGTGTGATTTCAACTTATTATGATGCATGTAAGTAACAATAAACCAAGCCTAAACAAATGCTACAGGTACAATACTAACCTCTGGATAATCATCTCTCCTGACATTTGCAGGATAATAATCGACAATCAGCGGACGTGGCCGTTGGCCGATACCGGTAGGTTGCTGTAGGCCGCAGGCCTGCTCCTCATTCGTAAGCACAGTCACCAAAGTGTTGATGACTTTCTCGTCTAACGCCGACATAGCTTTGTTCGGTGCCTTCATACGTCTGAGGAACAGAGCGTTCCACTTTTGTCGCAATTGTAAGAACAGATCAGCTGTTTCTGGATCGAGTTTGAACACTACCCAGTCATCGAGCTTGAAAATAGCCCCTTCATGTGATTCGTCGACTTCTGAGTCTGAATCGCTTTCCCACACAGCTGTAAACACAACATGTATGCTTTGTACAACATGTATCGTACGACAGCGTTTAAAAATCATACAGTATGCGTGAGAAATCGTCGCTTACCCTCAGCCTCATGCAGTACATCCATTGGTAACCTGGCCGGTCCGCTAAAGAGAGCTACCGTTAGTGGATTGACAAGCGTAACAAATTTCACATGACAGAAACGTCCCGTACGGCTCATCTCTTCGTAAAGCAGCCAATCGCATGGTAAGGCCTGCACATTGGCTGCGTGTGTTTGCGCGGACGTTGTTCTCGGAGACTTTGGGAAGTCTCTCAAGGTCGAAGAGGGATGGAAGAACACCTTGACCTCTTTTCTATATGCGACAAAATATTAAAAGTAATTTTATGAATCATCTAAGTAGTAAGAGGCGAGTATTCTAAATTAAATAAACGTCACGTACTGAGTTCGTAACTGCAAATGATCGCGATCAACGCGAATCAAGTTGGGATATAAACCCGCAGTCAGCGCCGCTTTCACGACCGCCCAATTTTCCGAATTGGAATTTAAATCTCGAATGTCGCTGGGACTCCTAGCTCTGACAAATCCGGACGCGCGCAATTGGCCGAGAAGTTGCGTACGCATTCCGACTACCATCTCCATCACAGGCGCGGAAATAAAATTCTTCTCGCAGAAGGCACGTTCCTTGCCGGACGCTCTAGCATTCTGCCAACCCTGAAATGCTCGCAACACCACCATGTGATCTGAAAACGTCCCAGTGGCGAATTTTTTTCGTGCTGCAGTCAAAGCTCTCTTTTGCGACGGCTGCGATGGCAGTATGAAAGGATCCCTACAATAAAATATATGTCATAGTAACGAAAAATTGTACAAAATAAATGATATGTTATATATTAAAAATTATAAGTTTCGCATATCTAAATATTTAATTCGGACTCTCAGATTCCGGAAATTTTAAATCCGTCTCCGACTACAGATACTGTCCAGTACTGCGTACTATCCGAATAATTCACGAATAATAGATATTTAGAAATTATGGATAATTACGGATAATACTGGATAAGCTCAGGATAATCGTTTTCTAAAATATGAGCGAAATTTCTCTGGCCGAGAATAATTTCTTCTAGATTTCGGAAAACTGTTATCCCCAGCTGCATTAACCGCAGAGACATTCGTTGTCCGCGGATATTCAGATAATATTGCCAGTAACTCGGATGTCGAAGAAGTAAACTGATTTTATTCAGTTTAATTTTGTCTCGCACAGATATCCGGTATTCAGAAAGAACAACGGAATTCAACACCCATCCCTAGTATATATCTAAATGTACACCTACTTGTATGCCAAACTGCAAACGATAGTTAAGATGGGATCCAGACATTTCAGGACGACGGCATACAACAGCATTTTACCGAGCCTCGGCTCAATTGGCAAATCCAACAAGTGACTTCCCATCTCAGTTAAGTCCTCCCAAGGATCCAGCGCGTCGATCGTCTTCAACAATTGAACCGCATTTCTAGTGACCACGTTGGACGGCGGCTCCAAAGCTCTGTCCAAGAATTCGGCTATAGGCGTGTTTCCTGGCGTCAGGTATTTCGTGTACAAGCACAACTCTTGTAACGGTAAGCGCAGAATCTCGGGTGTTTGATAAGGTTGCATACTGTTGTAACGCATGGACGAAAACATGCGATAACAAATTCCTCTCTTACATCGACCCGCTCTACCTTTCCGTTGCTTCGCGCAAGCCTGAGATATCCAATTTGAAGTCAACGTGCACACACTCGATATAGCATCGAAGGATTTCTCCTTGACCTTGCCTGAGTCAATAACGTATACAACGTCGTCGATCGTGATGCTAGTTTCCGCTATATTCGTAGAGAGAATAATCTTCCGTGTGCCATGCGGACTGGGCTTGAACACCTTCTTCTGATCGTTGGTATGCATGTTCGAATGGAGCACGTACAAGTTGTAACGTAAGCCCTGATTCATCTTCTTCTCCTCGGCATTTACCTTCTCCTTCATCGTGACTATATCGTCGTATCCCGGTAAAAATACTAAGATAGAGCCGGGCTGCATCTTCAGGTGAATATGAATGATTAATTCTAACAGTAGATCGTAATTGATATTGTCATCGTTGAACGTATGGTGATAGATGTCGAGCAGCATTTTGTCCTCTTCAGAGAGCGACGTCTCCCCGGCACGTGTCAACTCGTCGTTCGACACCGCGCAATCGTAAGTCTTCATGTAAGCCTCGATCAGCTCAGCGCATTCGGTCTGATTCATCTTTCTAGCCCAGTCCAACGCGGTCCACTCGTTACCGGCCCTTAAATTAAGATTCGCGCCTAAATTCAAAAGCTGCTCGGTCGTGTTTATGCAGCCTCTACCCGCAGCAACCATTAATGGCGTCACGGAAGTGCTGGAGTGCTGATAATCCACAGAGACGTTCTCAGAGAGTATGAAATGTAAAAGCTGCGCGAAATTGTCCTCTGCGCCATTCAACCACGCGTCGGAAATACTCTTGTCCATTTCTTCCATCAACCAAGGCTCTAACTTGACTTTCTCCGGTATAGGGTCGCTATGCTGGGCTAGAATCGGCGCCGGCAGCAGACACTTTTCCTTCGTGGCTTTTCTACCGGAATGTTGGGGCTTGTACTGCGTCCAAGATTCCAAAACCTTCCGTTGATCTTTCAGCTTGAAGAATTCCTTCTTCATCGCGAGCATCTCTTTCGTCATGTAACCAGTCATTTTCAAGATGTCCTCCAGGAAGTATATGTCCACGTCGTATGTTCGGCCGGGGACGTTGATAACGGTGCATTTATTGAAGTATTTCTCGAATATGTTAGTGTCCATCGTAGCACTCATCAGTATTAGTTTCAAGGAACGATACTTGACCAACGCGTCCTTTAAAGCTATCAAAAGAAAATCACAGAATCTGTCTCGCTCGTGCACCTCATCGACGATGATATGCGTAAGCGTGGACAAGGCAGAATCGCCGCCCATTAAAGTACGAAGCAATACGCCATTTGTACAATACGTCAGGAGAGTTTTCGGAGCTACTCTGCTCTCTAATCTTATCTGATATCCGAATGTCTGGCCGATCTTTTCTTCTCTCTCAAATGCCACTCTCTCGGCCACAGTCACCGCCGACAGGCGTCTAGGTTGTGTACAAATAATTCTGCAAGCCTGATGCTTTTGCTGATAGTGCTCCAGAATATACTGTGGCACTTGAGTGGTCTTACCACATCCGGTTTCACCTGCGATTATGATTACCTGATGATTGTTCAATGCAGTGAGGATCTCTTCCCTTGCATTAAAAATTGGTAGGGATTTGCGGAAATGCATTACATCAAAATTGGTCTTCAGTTGAGGGATCTGAGGTATGCTGCTATTCAACCTGCCCATTGCTTTAGTATTCGTATTTACTGCAACAGCAAACATATTCTTAGAGTTTAATTGAGCTATTAATATAAACTAAAAATATTTGAAAAAAAAAGAAAGTTTAAGGGCCCTTACATTATCTATCTCTTTTTAATAGCTTCAGAAGCAAGAAAATATATGCTAAAAATTCTTGCAGAATACGTTAAAATAAAAATATATATCCATAAAGTAACACTTGCAAAATTGATTAAACAAATTTGTAAGATATTCCATTAATTTGTCGTAAATTAATGTGACATACAATTCATTTTTTTAATCTATTTTTTCACCTATTTCTATTTATTTAATTTACAATAAATTAATTGTTAAAGCAAAAGGAGAGTACACAGAATATCTTACAAATTTGCTTAATTGATTGCAAATGTTATTTTATGGATATATATTTTTACAACATATTTTACATATTTTACAAGAATTTTTAGCATGCATTTTCTCGCTTCTAACGTAATTAAAAAAAGATAAATCTAGGTCAGGAGCCTTAACAATTACGTCAATAAAGTGGAACCTGTATATCACATGTATTACTTTATAATTTATACAAAAAACAAAGTTACCTCTTAATCAAAATTCTTACTTACCATCAGTATTGAGAGGACGCTCCCTTTCAATTGGAGGAAGCAGATCTTGATATTCTTTTTGGTTCAATGGAAAAGTATGTGCCAAGTTATATATGCTCTGCTTTGAAGCATTCTGCAATTTTACTACAGTATCAGCTTGGACTATCGTTGAACCCTCTCTTTTATACACAGTCAGGAATCGGTTCATACCCTTTCTGTGAAACAAAATGTCATTGAGATAATTCTGTTTGTTAGATGAGACAAGATTTCTATTCAGATTTTTATTCAGAGTTACCCTCGACTTTTCGACTTCAGACCAAGGACTCTGGCTAGTTCATGAATATATCCTCTCTCTTCTGCTGTGTACGAAGATGGGAACTCTAGCTCCTTTTGATCTGGAGTGTCCAGAAGTTTCTTTAGAGTTAAATTTACTGCAATTCTAGTGTCCTCCCCTATGGGACGATGTCTTTGATTTTTTCTACGTGGCATGGTGAATATTCAAATATCACCTGTCATTAAAAAACGAATATTAATTCAACAAATTAATGATTATTATTGTATGGTTATTACACAAGTAGTTGTGATTATTTACAGCAATAACAAATCTACGAAAGCCTAGACTAAAAACTGATCTGTCACAGGAACATCTGTCGCAGGTTGAGCTCGTAAAAAAGTGAACGTGCGAAGCAAATGTTGATATTTACTCATTAAACTGACACGAACTTGACACAAAATATATTCTCCAAGCAGTAGAGACCCCGCCTCGAAGGAATCGGAGAAATTGGACAATCGCCGAGTGCACTGGTCGCCAGTACGCTTCTCTAACAAAAGAGAAAAAAAGAAAAACGCACGGCCTACGCTCGTACCAATTTGGAACGAGACATCCCAAAGTCGCAAATCCCGCACCGGAATATACTCAACAATGTTGCGATATAAAGTGCGGAACTGCGCACGCCATCACACTCACATAGGTAGCACTCGCGATTGCACGTAAAAATGAACTTATCTCACGAAAAAATCTATAGGTAACAGAAATCAAGATGGTATCGCAATAAATAAACCGCCGATAAATGTTAGAAAATATTTATGTTCAACAATAGACGTCAGCTCCATCTGTGAATCTCAACTCGTATTTCCTCCGAAAATATTTCATGAGTAAGGTCGTCATTTCATTCTGTTTTCTATTACTGGGGCCTTATGCAGGATTTACATTGCGTCCGATGTCCGACGTATGACGTCCGATATCCAATAAAAGAATAGCTTTCCAATGGAGAATTGAATTCTCTATTAGAAAGCTGTTCTCCTATTGGATATCGGACATCGTACGTTGGCATCGAACTCGGTGTGAATCATGCATTATTCTCGAAAAATATCGCATACGATATTTCGATAAAAAGCTATAGTATACGTCACATAAATTATAGCTTTTCATCGAAATATCGTATGCGATATTTTTTAAGAATACGGCCCCTGAACTAGTGTACACTTTCATGGAACTTAAAAAGAGACAGATATATAGATAAAATGTAGTGGAAGAAAGATGAAAGAGACTAGTGCAGCCAGTTCAGCAATAGAAAACAGACCCATTTTCACTTGCACTTCATACTCTTTCCTTGGTCTGTTCTTTTCAGCTACACTGCTAAATTGGTGCAATAAGTAGAGTGAGAAAACATGTACTTGTCTCACTTTAACTTATTGCACCAGTTCAGCAGTATAGCTGAAAAGAACAGAACATCTGTTACTCGCTCTTGAATATACATTTATTTTCTATTGAACGCAAGAGTGTAAACAAGTATTTTCAATCGCGATGTTGTTCGTCTTTCTATCTTCATTTTTTTAACTCTTAGCGACAAGCTCGCTGTGCCTTCCTTGCTGCATAATACAACTTTACTTAATATGACATATTGTTTCTGCTTTTTAACCTTATACTACATTCCAAAACTGTCGTTGGAGAAAACAGAAGATAATCGAAAGTAAAATACACGAAATGTATGGGGAAACGAAAGTAATCCAGGTTTTGGAGCGCGTCGGCTATAATTCAAAGGAAATGAAGTAGCAGAAAGGACGCAATCACATAGTAGTGCATCCAGTCGAGTCAGCAAAAGTCGATTCAAATAGCGCGACGAAATCTTTCATTCAATTGGCACTGTCTCTTATTCATAGTACGTCTACTATTGTAGAAGAAAATGCAAAGGACGACGAACAGATGATGATTCTACTGCTCATTGAAAGAAAATATCGTTCACGCCAGTGTTTATACGTTCTACCTAGGTTAGATGATTTCCTGAATCAAGTTGTAGATTACATTACGTATTTGTATTATTTACAACAATATATTCAATTCGGACTGTTATTTTATACTTTTTTTTTTTTGGTTGATTTTAGTATGATAGAATGGCAGGAATTTTCCACTGGCGTTAGCTGAAGGTTCACATTTATGAAAAATTCGCAAAATACTCGTGAGTATATTTAATTTATCTATTAGAAAAACTTTTGAATAAAATAATTGCTTTTGAATAAAATAATTGTATAACTTGCAATTATTGAATTCGAAGCGTGTCCTATGTTAGGTCATTAACATAGTCATTAATTAGAAAAATTTTTATTTGTGCACATGTAGTCTGTGAAATTTTGACATTAATACACAAATATATTAACAACAAATATTTTTACATTAATATAGGCTTATTTAGTTATTAGTGTTTATTCAGTAGTGTTTATTTATAGAAATATATCAAATTAGAAATATAAAAGGAATTATCTGCATTAGAATTAGAAAAGTATTTGATAGTTATTAAAAATAAAATGCTACGCTAAATATTCATAGATTTAGAACCTTTTATAAATGTGTTGAAATACTGTATCATTAATTTCCATTAGATTAATTGCTTTACAAGCTGCATCTACTGCATTGACCATTGTTGGCGTACCACAACTAAAAACACCAATCTTATTTGCCTGAAATGAGAAATTGTTTTAGGTATATATTAAATCACATAAAGAATTTAAAGTATGATATAGTATGATAGGATTTAATAGAATAAATATTACACAATAAATATGAATAGATCATACAGAGATGATATATACTTACAGCAGGATGTAATCTTGATATAGATCGGAAGAATTGAGAAAATTTCGGTCGTCCAAAGTGTGTGGCTGCTTTCAGGCCAGTAAACAGAGATCTATTTGAAATTTTTTGAAAGTGATGCTCACAGATATACTAAAAACAGTGTTTAATTACATAATTTTTCTAAAATTTATTTCAAATAAATTATATTCAAATGTCTTACCAAAAATATCGTACGTAGATCGAACTTTTCATAAAACTGAGTGACAAAAATGTGAATCGATACTATGTTCTTAGCATCTGTTTTCTCGAGCTCTCTCAATATGTCGACCATCCACTCAAATTGCTTTTGTGATTTTGTAACCCAAAGAAAGTATACCTATAAATGGAAATAATTTTACACCCATATTCTTTCTGATATATCATAGTGCTGCAATGATGTTGTTACCTTTTTGCAACTAAAGTTTACGTTATGATTGGACCTAAAAACTATATCCTTAAGTATTGATGCAAAAAGAGTAACACCTATACCACCACCAACCATGATTACTACCTCGTATTTATCCCAGTCTTGATGATCTTCTCCATATGGGCCATCTATGTAAATCTAACAATAAATAGATAACATGCAAATTTTATTTCATTATTAAATATGACATAAAATTTAGATAGATGAATAAGTATATGATTCTTTACAATATATTATAACATGAAAGCGTACCACTGGCAAGTTCTCATTAGACATGATGCTTAGATCCAACTTATCCCTGATATTTTTCGTCCACGGTCCAACTGCTCTTATATGTATACTTAAATTCATCTCGTGCGGCGCAGAGGATAAAATAAATGGATGGTACTCATTTGTTTGTAATGCTGGGCATGCCACTCTAATCCACTGGCCAGATTTGTATTGAAAATTTAAAGGCTTTGGAAATATTAAACATGTTACACCTGTGAAAGGTACACCAATATAATGGATCAATAGGCGTAAGCGACACTATAATGATATTAGTGGAGAGAAATTACCTGACGGCAAAATGTCCGCTTTAAATATTGGTGTCTCTATTTTCGTTTTGGTCACTGTTATAATTTTATCGAAAATAAATAGGATAGCTGGCCCCAAAAAGAAATAATGGAAATACGGTTCCTGTCGCGACAAATCAAGCAATTTTGTTAGTTACGTCATCGTGAGAATAATTACATTTTATATATAAACATTAATTACTTGCACTAATCTCCCACTGCCGTGTAAAACCATGAGTATGTAGAAGACTGTATATAGGGAGTGTACGAAAGAGAACAAGTTGTAAAATGCTTTGCGCACCATCGATAAAGAGCATATAAATATCAATCCAGCCACAATAGTTAAAAATATTCCAGTTATACCTGTCATTGTGCCCCAACACCAATAATGGAATTTAGGCAATTCGTGCGTCCTATAGATACCGATAATTATATATAATAATGATATATATCGCGTATAGACACAAATGATCAGAATATTCAGAAAGAAACTTACGCATGGAAATAATTCCGGAATAGACACGACAGATCGTCTGCAGTCTGCGTGGATATGTGATAAAAGTTGAAGCCATGTCCGATAATATGTAACACTAAAAGATTCTTATGAAATACTATTTAGATAAAATCGACCATGTTATAATTACAGAGAAATTTTGATGTAAAAGAAACCACTAAATATTTATGTACCACTAAATATGCAGTGTTTAAAGTCAAAATAAGACATTTTCTCTCACCACTAAAGGCCAGAGCCCAGCAAGCAATGTACTTGTGCATCTCGATCGCGGAATCGAATGGAATATAAAATTGCAGAACTGTGGTTCTCAGGAACGTGATGGTGTTATGACACATCATGAGTAGTAGCGTGGAGTAAGTGAACATCATTGCCGACGCCGCACCTCTTGTTATCGTCAGGCCGTAGCCCAATATTCGCCTGAGACCCGAATGTTCTCGTTCTATGGAAAAATCTGTAAGAGCACCGTTGAGTATTTATGAGGATCGCAAAACTAAATACTCGATGCTACAAAGTTATACAAAATACGTACAGTACACTCGTTCCGCAAATATCCCAAGGAGCAACAGAGTATACAAACACACCCAGAATATTTGCAATCGTTTGTTAGCGAGGTACTTCAATATAGGGTGCCAATAATCGTCCGAGTATTTCTTCATTTCCTCAACGATCTCCCCGTCGATGATCTCACTATTGTGTCTCTCCTCCGTTACGTCCTGCTCGTCCTCAATTTTGCCTTCGACTCTCGACTGCAACTCGCTGGGATCGGCATACAGACTCTCCACCGTTTTCTGAACTTCGCCGATAAACGTCGATCTAACTGTTTTCACGCCTGCGTGAAGTTTCCTGTTCTTCCCTTCTGTTTGCACGTTAAACTCTAGTTCGGCGTAATTAAACTGATCGTTAAAGTCGCTCAGTATTTGCTGGAAGTCCTGTAGATTTATAGTTTCCTTGTTCGCCAAATTGGCGTGGTACATCATAGACTGCACCAGAGTCTCTAATTCGTCATCCGTTACGTCAGTATTGACCGTCTCCATGAACGATCTACAAATTCGATGTAATACATATAATATGTGCAAAATGTTATGTCTTAATCATATATGTAAATACATAATATACCTTAACATATTTGAAAATTCTTCTCTTGTTAGTCTTTTTGTATTATTGATGTCATACATATCAAACATCAGCTTTATCTTCTCTTCAGCGGAGCCTTTCAGAAATATTACTAACATATCAATAAACTCCCGGAATGATATAAAGCCGTTCTTGTCTTTATCCACTAGATTGAATATCTACAAATGCAGTCTTTCGAACAACATACATTCGTATCATATACTCATATCGTATATCAGACTTTGTGCAAATGTTACCTTCTTTACGAACTCAGCTTCCGGCTTCATGCTCAGAGCTTCCGCAAATTCTATGATCGTCAGCTCAGTGTAAATTACTTCTTTCGCCACTATCGAGTCTATTTGTAATATTTCTTCTTCCGTATGTGCGATATGAAACGCCTGAAGAAAAAATTATCACATATACACATTGCATTTATCTCGCAAATCTCGCGTATACTGTAAATACATTTACTTTGAACAAAAGAAAGCGTTCTTAAATAAGTGGAAAATAAAATACCTGTGCGAATACAACACGGAAGAACATCTCCAATTTCTTTTGACGATGTTTTTTACTAATTGCTTGCTTGAGCATCACCGCGAGCGTGACGTTCGTCGTTTGCACTGAACATACATTTCCGACAATTGCGATTTCTGACATAAACTTATCGAAAGCCTTTATAAATGCATTTCTTATATATTCGCCATCGAATTTCAGCACTAAGTCGTAACTGTGATACACACGAATCAATACGTAATGGCTATCGGTTGCGCGGTAAATCTGTGGAAAAATAATGCCTGTTATTACAATTTGTTGTTAATGAGTGGCAATTGATGAATAATAAATAGACGTACCATAACGTTGCTATTAGATGGAAACTCCACTGCACGTATTAAATGTCCCAATTGATTTTTCACTTCTAATTGTTGAGTTCTGACATTTGTTGTTACTAGAACGTGCTTCAGTGAAGACTTCGGCTCTTGCCATTCTCTAGCTATTTAAGTACAAAGGTTTATTAATATATCACAAGCAATATTACAGTGATGTACACACTATGCACATCACATATGTTATGTGATGTACGTTTTATACCTGGAAATTTACCAGAAAATATGCTATCTATGTTATTGATATCACTGTGATCCACTTCTCTACTATATTCTTTCGTCGGTCCTTTCTCTTTTAACTGTATCTTATAAGAAATCAAAGCAATAAGACCTAAAATGAATGCCAAATAATATAAAATTCGTACAGTCACCATGTAATAATAATGATAATAATAATGAAGAATTTACCGCAGAATAATGTTGTTAAGGATAAAAATGTAAGAATGAAGGACAGGCCGCTGTTGGAAAAGAAGTCGTAAGTTTCGGGATCTTCGCATTTTTCTTTGAGAATCTTATTGATTTGGTCAGCGTGAAAGCAAGGACCATTGAGACAGTTTCCTGGTTTAATAACGTTTTTACATTTGGGATGAATTTCTCCTGAAAGGGTACAATATATATTTAATGATACCTTCAGTTATCACCGGGCAAATTTAAATTGTCATTTACGCTTTTGCTCATACCTTTAGGAACTCTGAAGGGTTCCTTCGGAATATCGTTCCAGTCCATTTCAGTGATGCACATTAACAAATCATAAATTGACACTTGACGTATTCTTTCAATTTCTTTTGAAGTAAAAAGTCTACGAGAACGAAGACGTGTCAGAGACAGTTTACCGAATAAATAGTAAAACATAGATATGTAGAAAGCGGAAATCTTTGTGCAATGTATAATTACATACTCGTTATCCTTATTTTGATACCAAAATCTATCGCCATCACGTATTCTCTGAAATTGATCTCTGATGATTGCTTGGAATAATTCGCCAGGTGCGTTACCAGTCTCCAATATTCCACCTATCCAGATATCCACGTTGTCAAAAGAATTATACAATGTGAGGAATTTTTCCTTGATCTGAAACAAAGTGCAGACGATATTTTTTATAATGTCGTTGCTATAACGAATTAAAAGTTATTGTTATTATACAACATACACTGTTAGACAGATTAAAGTGGGATATATCTGTAACTTCGTGTAAACCGTACGCGCGACGAGCGCTATTGTAATCCGGTACACCATGATCGCGTGCCCGTTGAATGTTAAGCGCCATTAAGTCCCTTCTTGAAAATTCCAATGGACCGAACAAACTTTCTCGCAAATCTTCAACGATTTTATGATCTTCCTCTTCGCATAATTGAATAGCCATTCCCATTAGTAATTTCTCCACAATATTGTTCTTCGTTGAATTGATAAAGAAAGAATCCTAAACGACGATTTATTGTGCATTAATTGTTTGTCGACATATCTTAAACGTGTGTACTCGCTAAGATACCTCTGGCATCCAGTAACTGTTGCATGTTCTAGTTGGATATAGTTCCAGAGAACAACCGTTTCTCCCATAGTTGCGAAGATACACACCTATGCAATTGTTACTGCTGTTTTATCAACATAATCAATATAACACCGCTTGCTATGCGACGTCACATACAAGCCAAATTTATTTCACATCGCCTTATAATTGAACAAAAAGAAAGTTGTAGATGTATAAAAAAAAAGAAAATGTACGAATAAAAGCAAATAGGCCATGAAATAAGAAATCAATATCGCTGACATAAAATGACTTTTTTGTTTGACGTCGATACGACTGTATTTGAAATAATATTTAAATAATGCGTTAGTAATCAGACATTGCACGCGTTTACCTGGTGGAACTAAAGTGTGCCCGAAACGGAAAGCAGCCGATTGGAAGAATTGCTCTATCTGCGGATCGATATTAGGGTTGTAACCTTTCAGGAAGGAAAAAGTCAAACGTGAATTGTACATCAATTTTCGAGCAATCTGAGTAAATCGCGGCGTATTGCACGCGTCAGTCGTTATCTATTTCTCACCTTCATATTTAGGAAGCACATCCAGGCCCAACCACGAAGGCAACCATTCATCGACGACAATGCGCTGCTGAGTCGCTATCACCCACTTGCGCGCCTCGTTGTAGATCTGATCGCTCGACCAGTCTTCATGGTAACGCTTAATATGCTTCGCCAGGAAATTGTGCCATCGGAACCACACTATACCGAAGGTCAGCAGAAACGGATTTTCATTCCCTCGTGGATTTCCTAACTCTGAAACATACGTATGAGTTGCATCGTTAACCATCGAACGCACGAATCGTGTTATTCGTTCTCGTCCGAAGATGCATTCTCTCCGAGCGCTGAGGAATGAAGCGATACCGCGAGCATGCCGCGTCCTTGCCGACTTGTCCCGCAGATCGATCACGAAGATGACGGTGCGGGACACGCTGAATCAGGCCCTCGACGAGGAATTAGCCCGAGACGAGAACGTATTTATCATAGGAGAGGAGGTGGCGGAATTCGACGGCGCTTACAAGGTGACGCGTGGTCTTTGGAAGAAATACGGTGACAAGAGGTTGATCGATACGCCAATAACCGAGGCTGGATTCTGCGGTATAGCTATAGGCGCGGCGCTCTTGGGTCTACGGCCGATATGCGAATTCATGACTTTCAATTTTTCCATGCAAGCCATTGATCGCGTCATTAATGGCGCCGCGAAGAATCTCTACATGTCCGCCGGCAGATACCCCGTTCCCATTTTATTTCGTGGCCCGAATGGCAGTGCCAAGGGTCTGGCTGCGCAGCATTCCCAATGCTTCGCCGCATGGTACATGAGCGTGCCAGGGCTCAAAGTTGTGTCGCCATCGACTTGCGAGGATTACAGGGGCTGCCTAAAGGCTGGCGTGAGAGATCCCGATCCCGTGGTGATGCTGGAGAGCGAGTTACTTTACAATATCGAGTTCCCATTGTCTGACGAAGCCCTGGACAAGGACTACCAGGTGCCATTCGGCAAGGCTAAGGTGGAGAAACCCGGCAAACACATCACGTTGGTGACGCATGGCCAGGGCTTCGTGTACACGCTTCAAGCGGCTGAGATATTAGCCGGGCAAGGGATCGAGGCGGAAGTCATTAATCTGCGATCATTGAGGCCCCTGGACTGGGATACCGTCTTCAAGTCGATTGGCAAGACGCACAGACTGATGACCGTCGAGCTGGGATGGCCTCGATGCGGCGTGGGCTCGGAAATCGTAGCGACGGTGATGGAGAATCCGGTATTCTTCCAACTGGATGCGCCCGCGGTCCGATGCGCCGGAGTCGACGTCCCGATGCCATACTCGGAGAAGATTGAGTACGAGTGCACCCCGAAGGATCATCATATAGCCGATTATGCTAAACGCGTTTGCGGCTCCAAATTTTGATTGTATATATTCGCTTCTGTGTATGTGTATGTATGTGTATTAGCACAAATAAAAGCTTGTACTCACTGAAGTATCTGGTGACTTCCTCGGTGTAGTGCCGCGGACTTACGTACTTCTTGTGATAAGCGGGCGGATTCGCCATCGGTAGCCGGGCGGTGTTAAGCTCGGGATACGCGCCGGAGAGCGATGACGCGAGTTGACCATCCGGCTGTACGGTTCCGTTGGCATACGTCCGCAGAACGTTCGACCACGCTTTAGACGTGCCGTAGATCAGTCCACCGTCCAAGTACGGCGTAATCTCGTTTAACTGCGACGTTATAATACCCATATTTAGAAGTTAAAAAAGATCAGAAGAAGTTGACAGTGTCGTTAATAATATCGTTTTTCTAAAGGGCAAACGCGTGATACCTGTTGGCGTGGATTGTTCGGCGAATGACCCGTCCGCTGATCATATCGTGTACGTAAAACAGGCTTTTCTGTTTTTTTATTTTTGTACTTATGTTTGTACTTGTGGTTTTCCGGAATTTTTATATTAATATATTCAGGTGGACACGCTGGTCTCTGGGCATCCAAAATTTCCCCCACCACTTGTTGACCTATGCATAAATGTTTTTAGTTGTGTTACACAAATATCTCACGCAGCTCATCCAGAATTAAATTAAAAAATTACTATTAACAATAAAAAAAAAATATATATATATATATACACAAGCTTCTTGTAGCGTAATTTTTTTTGTATATATGTCGAGAGAAGAGTAGACGATAGCTCACATTCTATATTCTATAACAATCCATCAATTTATCTCGTTTACACTACTTGCACCCAAGTAGAAATTAAATTAGAAATAGTTTCCTATACATATATATATAAAATATTTTTTCACGCACCGAAAAACACAAGTAAAGCGTTTCGTCCCATTTTCGATTTAGTCCCAATGTCTCCACTCAGCAGCTCGTCACTCAACTCTAACGGGTTTGGTCTGTTAGAAATTGACGGCTGGTATACTCCATCTTCATAAGCTGCTGGCAATCTCCTCAGTAAGGGAGTGTCGACGGCACCTAATTCTGGTTTACCAACGTTATTGTTCCATCCATCGTAACCGGGGTATTCCTTCGCGGTGTGATAATCTGTACCGCATTTATTCGATGGCTTATCCGTCTTGGTTTCCCAACATCCAGTAAACAGCCAACTTGTGAATTGTATATTAAAGTCTCTTCCAGCTGTTTTCTTTTCTGGCTTTTTAAAAACTGCGGAACAGAAAGACGTGTTTCTTTAATAACAAGTACGATGAGTCTGTTACATCAGATATATGCATAATCGTACATCTATTCGGATCCGGCGTAGGTGCAGGTGTAGTTCGAGTTGTAGTAGTTCGAGTTGTAATAGGTAGTGTGGATGGCGTTGTAACGTTTTGTGCAGCAAGCAATGAGAGATTAATTACAATAACAAATAAATTTAGCATGGAATACATGTTGCACCCTTTATTACGTGGCCAATTTATGGAAAATATGTACACACATCGCTTAAGTGTCACGTTAAAAAATTATCTGTTACAGAGCTACTGAGTTCCACTCACTAACAGAGCTGCAAAAATTGCTACTAACGAGTGGTATTATTCATACGAGTGACTTCCTTCGTTACGGCTACTTCCTTCCTGTGTGATAAGGGTATGCAGGAAACCAAATGCGTGTATCACTGATTATATTATTAGAGCATGAAAAATTGACCGCACGCCTGTTTTATAATTTCTCACGATAACCGGCTACATGCATATTCGACGATTACTTTGCGGAAAAATTAAGCGAGCGCAAGAAGTAGCACAAAATGTACACGCCAAGAAAAAAAATCCTTTGGTTCGCGATCGTTAGTAGAATCGCGGTATTTATACTGCAAGCAATTTTTAACGCATTAATACCCAATCACCACGCAGATGTATTTAGAAGACCCTTGGATCCTGCGGAGAAAGTTTCCCCGTGGGATCGAATAGTGTATTTTTTACTTGACGGTCTTACACGTTGGGACGGCGAGTATTATTTACACATCGCAAGATACGGGTACACTTACGAGAATACTCTCGCTTTTTATCCGTTGTACCCGGGTATGATTCGCGTCGTCGGCGTTGTTTTGCTGAAGGTACTTCCCATGCTGAATATTCAGAGCGCGATGATCCTGGCCGCGACGTTCATTAATTTCGCGTGTTTCATAAAGTCCGCAATTATCCTCTATGACCTCACCGAGCGTGTATTCGAAGATACCGTGACGGCGTACAAAACGGCGATACTTTACTGCATAAATCCGGCCGGCATATTTTTCTCGGCCGCATATTCCGAATCCATGTTCGCGTACCTAACGTTCTATACCATGCTTGCAAGTATAAGATGCATGCCCACTATTTATTTTCCACTGGCTCTGTCAACCTTGGTGAGGTCGAACGGTCTCATCAACATCGGCTTTCCTGTATATTTCGGCTTTAAGAATATATGCAATTCCGCATCAAGAGAGACGCGACAGAAAGGTAATATTCTATCGACTGCCTGGTATATCCTAAAATTGATGACGTTGAACAATTGCTTCACTCTGTTGAGCACGATAATTATATCGATGTCGCCGTTTCTTCTTCTACAAATATATAATTATATAAAGTTTTGCACTTCTACGTACGACACGTCGTTGCTACCGACTCACATTTTACAGTACGCCGCAGAAAACAATCTAGTCCTACCAGGTGCGGAAAATTCGGCATGGTGTAATGCCAGTGTGCCTCTGGCATACTCGTACGTGCAAAAGACATATTGGAACGTTGGATTCTTGAGATACTATCGATTCAAACAGATACCGAATTTCATTTTAGCTTTTCCAATGTTGCTCATTATGTTGCACTGCGTAAAAGAATTTCTCTTTGAACATAAGAATGAGTTCTACTCGTTGGGATTATTTGACGGCAAAGCAAAAAGCGAAAATACTAACCATGTAAAGAAATATCCATTGAATATGTTTGTTTTCGTGATACATGGGTTATTTTTGACCACATTTTGCTTATTCTTTGTACATATTCAAGTCAGTACACGTTTATTAGCTTCCGCGAGTCCTTTGATATATTGGTACTGTGCGTCGATTATGTCTTATAAATGTAGCGATCATGTTGACTCACAGTACGAAAGTAGAGACAACATATTCTCCAAGTGGAAAGTGTTTATCTTATCGCAAGAACGATATACGTTACAGGATAAGCTAGTACTATCTTATTTCATAGGATATACAATTATAGGATGTTTTATGTTTCCCAATTTCTTGCCATGGACTTAATAGACTACATCCTATATGTATATTATATATGTATATTCTTTTCACTAAAATAAGTTATTCCAGAATATTTTAGATACATTCTTGCTGTAAATGTATTTGCTGACGTTTTTGTATATAAATAATAAATACTGAAATAAGACATAGTGAATATCAAAATAAAACTATATAATAAGTACGATTTGTAAATATTATTAATCTTTAATAGGAAGGATAAAGTAACATTATTTTAATATTATATTTATTTTTATGTAATGTATATATATTAAAATGCAATACACTTAAGGCTATCAGGTACAACATTTGGCGAATGTACATTTTAATAGTTAACAACAAAGATGTTCTCATATTTATATATTTAAAAAATTATTTAATTACATTAGCTTCCTTTGATATGTTGTTTTTTATGCCTTAATATTTCGATAGGTGTAAGATATAATGTCTGTGAGCAATGAGAACATTCGTACGCTTGGCTGTTGGGTTTATGAGTAACATTTTTACTTTCTTTGTTGTCTCCGCTGATCTCATTTGCGATTACACAGATATTCTGATGTTGGATTTTTTCCAAACTGGATAGGATTGCTTGGAGATCACAATTTTGACAGTGCCATTCCATCTCTTGCATTTCTACAATTATTTTCTCGCTCCAATCTGTTTCTTTTATACTGTAACATATTTATATAAAATACTTGTTAACGGATAAATACATAAGTTCATTAAATAAAAGTGTATTCAATCTTGTATAATTTTGTTAGTTATACGTTGTTATACAGATGCAATTTGAGTAACTGTATATTTCAGTGTATATTAATAAAATATTTTATTATACTCACCAGTTGTACGTAATATTTTCTGTTACATATATTCCACCCTTAGCTACATTTGGTATACTCTTAAAATCAGATTGGAAAGGATTAGGCTCTATGCTTATGTTATTATTTCTACTACCAACATATATCAGTTTTAAGTCAGCTGGTAGTAGTCTTTTTATGGTATATGGTACTGTAGTATGCATATATTCGATCAGTTCTTGAGTGAGATTTTGCTCAACTTTACTAAAATCTTCTTTTGTATTATTTGTTTCATCAGATACTAAAATAAGATTATATTATTCTTAATAGAAATAGAAGAAAATACAACTTAATCGTCAAATATATGTCTTCTTACCTCGCAATTGCTGGTTTAATAAAAAATCCCATTTATTCCTTAACTTAGTAGCCTTCATCAACAAAGTTTGGCCACTATCAGGAACAGGAAACTCTAGCATCAGCCATGAATCACATATCATACTGTAACATTTATACTATATTGCATGAGTTAAATTACAAAATACGTAAACTCAAAATTTAAAGCATACTTACATGGAAAATATGCTGTTTGTGTCTATTTCACGTGCGAATAGCAATAATGTTTGTGCAGCAGGCATCCTCAAAGTATTTACCAGATATGGTTTTGTAGTTTCCAAGAGAGAGCTGTCAATTACGTCAACGTCGTAAAGCGTTACTCATATTTGACAAATTTCTACAAAGCCATGAACGTAAAGAAAAACTTACAGATACGCCAATATCTGATGTTTAGGGCTAACAGGAGTTTTGCTCTTAAAACCTGATATCGATACCACATCTACTTCTTCAACTTGCAGCATTTGCGGGTGATTTCCAAAGAAGCTCATTGGATGCAAAGCAACATATGGCTTCGCTTTTGTATGAAACAATTGCTCGTTCATGGACTGAACACAATATGAAAATATAATTATATATACTATTATAGAGGTGTATATATATACAAAATAATATACAAAACATAATTTTTACCTTGCAATAATTAAACTCATCGGCACAAGCAAATTGTGGATACAAGCCGCTGCATAGTATCAATTTTAACATTGTCAAATCTTTATAACTGCATGCAGTCGCAGCCGTCAAAAGATTCTGCACTTGACTCGAGTCATTCCTCATTCGGAATTCTATATCCTTTATGTCGATTTCCCCATTGTCTTCGTCATTGTCTTCCAACTGTATGTCAAATGTATCCACTTTTAATTGTTTACGTCTTCTAGGTTCACTTTGTTTATAATTTCTTTTAAGCGATTTTAAAAGTTTTAACTCTCCATGTCTCATTGTGCGTTCTGCACTTGTCATGGAGGAATTTGGCTCCGGAAGACTTTTGAGTAAATTGCAATCCTGTGTGGTTTCACAAACATGATAACGTTAGGTACCTTATGAAGATATTGAGCATTGTTAAGTTGTTAAATGTGCACAACTAACTTGGAGTAATTCTTTAAATTGAGCTCTTAATTTCGTCATTTCGTAGAACCGTTGTTCCTCCAAACCTCTTCTCTTACACCATTTTCTGCTATTGTTGCCGCTGCCTCTATACTCTTGGGAATTTTCTTGCTTTACTTCCAGCCATTCTTTAAATGCATTAAGTAATGTGATTGGGTCACCATGATCAGATTCCAATTTCTTTCTAGATGTCTTAAACGTTAACAATAGTATTTCAATATTTAGTCAACTTGGTAACTGCATATTTCGTTTTACATTCATATTAATTACCTCGCATTCAGTATCCCTGTAAGCTCTGTTCGTAAACGGCGTTTGTATACTTAGAGCAGCAGCCAATGATAGTACCGGCTCCACTTGATGAAAAATCGATCCCATTATTAACATTTTCCCTATTGTAATGTCAACAGGCAGCCGTGCTAAAGTTTTACCGATACACGTGATTTTTTCATTTTCCGTAAGTGCACCCTGATTGAAAAAATATTGAATATTAACTAGATATTTATTACTTTGTAAAAGTAATAAAAAGTACAATATCAAAATACCAACGTGATCTTTTAAAGATAGTATGGCGTTTTCTATGCTATCGGCTGGTGGTGATTCTATAAATGGAAACTTGCGTGCATCCGGCAGGCCCATCGCTATCATTTGTAACAATGAAGAATCTAAAGGTACACGTTGTAGTTCTGGCGTCGAATATTTTTCCAGTATCTTATACTCTTCTTCCGAATAAATTCTGTAAAATAATAATATTATCAATATACAAAAGTTTTTCAAATAATTAAGCATCAAATTAATAACCTATAACAAACTCCGGGTCCTGTTCTGCCTGCTCTTCCTTTTCTCTGCTCCGCACTGGCTTTGCTTATCCAGAATTCTTTGAGTCTCTGCATCTTACATGATGGATCATAACTCATTTCCTTCACTTTTCCACTATCAGCAACAAATCTGATTCCATCGATGGTGATAGAAGTCTCTGCAATGTTAGTCGCTACGATGCATTTCCTAACACCCTCAGGGGCATAATCAAATACCTGGAAAAAAAAGAAAGTTATTTTTATAACGTTTATGACACAAAAATAATTAAAAGGCATAATCTCAGAAATAGTATACCTTGTCTTGTTCAGCGATAGAAAGTGTGCTATGAAGAGGTAAAACAATCCAATTATTCTTTTTCTTGCTGTATTCCTTGGCAGCGTCTACGACTGTAGTAATTTCGTTCATTCCACTTAGGAATATTAACAAGTCGCCTTTTTCATCAACTAAAAATAGTTTTGTCATTGTACTTATTACAACTCATTTGTAATCTTAACATATAATTTTAAGTAAAATAACTAAAAATAAAATAACATGCATTGATTAATTTTTATATTTATTGCATTTGATTATCTTTAATCTCATTATAGTGCTAAAATATAACATAAATATTTTACCTGGATACTTTTGATCAATTATCTGCAATATCTGCACATATGGACTTGGATTGAATCTGTCATTTTTATATTTGATATCTTCTATAGTTACAGGGCGATACATCAATTGAATAGGATATAATCTTCCAGGAACCTAAATGCATGAAATGTTTTCAATATTAATAACATATTTTTAACCCAACAATGTTTTGAAAGGTTATATAACATGTATGAATTTACCTCAATTGTTTTAACATTTTCCTTTGCAAAATAATTGTTAAAGAGTTCTATATTAATTGTGGCAGACATTAATACTAACTTCAAGTTGGGATTCTGATAAATAATACATTTCATAATGCCGAGTAAAAAATCTCCGTGCAAATGACGCTCGTGCACTTCATCTAAGACTACCACATCGTATGCAGATACTGCTGATTCACCTGAGACCTGTGCAAAAGGATATGTAATTTATAGAACTTCTTGATACTTTATAATAAATTTCAAAGAAATGGAGATATTCACCTGTCGTAACAATAAACCTTCTGTTATGAACGTAATAATTGTCTGCTGGTTTCTTTGTTTCTCAAAGCGTATCTGATAACCAACAGTGTTAAGATTTTCACTTAATGTTTCAAAGGCAACTCTTTTTGCTAAGGATATACATGCTATTCTTCGAGGCTGAGTACATGCTGTATTGCAAATAAATAAATGTTAAGTATAAAGCAAGGAATATTTATCAATGTACAATCATATTATACTCAAAATAATTAGGGGATCACATTGAAAGAATAATTCTGTTAAATGATTGAATAAAATATAAGAGTATATAAATAGCTTTAAAGTATTTTTGTAAATATATTTATTAAGGATTAGATATATTAAAGAAAA